AGAAGATAAATCAATTGTCGATCGCAAGGGAAACATGAGAATAAAAATGCACACACGCATACAAGCAAGTCTGCCTTTGCCTTCCCCTGCACACATATACAGTCTGACACAGAGTTAACGCACACAACCGCCATCACACATGACTTGTCCCCCTTAGACAGGAAATGCAAATCCATCACTCCAATCATTCGTCAATCCGAAATCACGCTCTATACACTGGGAGGAATATATAATATGTGCAGAAACAGACTATAAACAGTTGGCCGAAGTTTATCTTAGCACACCATTAGAGTGTGCAGTAATGGAACTATATGGGAAAAAAGGAGTGGCTGCGTTTAACATGGCTGCAGAAATCAGATAACTCCACTCAGCACATACTGAAGGCACTCAGGCATTAGACAGCGGAGTGTGTGGAAGATTTGTGTGTGTGTGTGTGTGTGTGTGTGTGTGTGTGTGTGTGTGTGTGTGTGTGTGTGTGTGTGTGTGTGTGTGTGTGTGTGTGCATGTGTGTGTGTGTGTGTGTGTGTGTCTGTGTGTGTGTGTGTGTGTGTGTGTGTGTGTGTGTGTGTGTGTGTGTGTGTGTGTGTGTGTGTGTGTGTGTGTGTGTGTGTGTGTGTGTGTGTGTGTGTGTGCAAGTGAGAGGGACAAAGCAATACAGGACCTAAATGTCAGAAGGCAATGTACCTCCTCTGGGTCAGAGGTTCTGTGCAGACTGAAGTGATCACACTCAATAAATAGGAAGTGTTGCCTAGAATTAAAGACAGCCCGCCTCACTCTGTGTGTCCCATCCTGTTCCTCACTTTATTTCTGTTATCTCATATTTTCTGTCATCTTTTATGGCACTCATCTCCTTTACACACGCCTCTTTCCAACACCTTTCTGGTAAATTAAATCTAATTTTTCTTGATTATGCAATGTGTTCGAGAAATTTAGGCAAAGGGGTTCACTCATTAACGCCCACGCATCCACATCCAGCAGATATCTTGTACGCGGTAGTACAGTGCCAACTGGGCTTTTGAAATCCTCCAACAATCAGTGACCGTGAAACGCTGACCTTAACCGGAAAAAAAATATCCCTCATCGTCATCATATTTCACGGTGACAGTTGGAACGGTTTATCCCTGGAATCTTTCACCGTAATGTTCTCGGAGCGCCAGGTTTCAAAAAGGATTACAATCCGTTCGCAAACCGGTAATGACCTGTCCCCCCAAACCTGGATCTGCCGGCGACCTGCATTTGGACACAGTGAGCAGGGCCGTGAACGCCAGGCCCCCCCAGAGAAAGCCCGGTGAGTCTGGCAGCGGGAGTGCTGCCGGAGCTGGAAGCGGAGCTGCTTGTTTAGCAGACCCACCCTGACTAACACAAAGGGGGGCAACGCCCTCCTCCTCCACCAGCCTATACACAGAGCTTCCTCATTGGCGAGCCTGGATGACCTTTGATCCCTGCTGTATTGTGGACACAGCAGGGGATGATGACCCCCACCCTAGCGCCCCCTTCCCGTATGCGCGCACGGGTGTGTGCGTGTGTGCGTGTGTCTGTGTTTGTACGCGTGAACAACAAAAGACAGCCATGGCCCTAATGTAGCAATCAGAGCAGTGGAAGAGGGGAAATGGTCTAAGGGGAAATGGAGGGTGTGTAGGTGTGGGAGATTGTACAAACACACACTGAGTGTGTATGCTGCTGTGTTGAAAGGGGGTGGTGTGATTATGTTCGGCTTGTGACGGCTGAGTTGCAGTCGCGATTAGTTACATCACAGCCAATTAACATGCAGCAGAGACTCTGGACTTCTACCAACTATGTTTTTTTTCTGTCCGTTACATCTTCAGGTCCAACTCAAGCTTCAGTTTCACGCCACAAGAACGGTGACCGAAACGGTGCTCTTTCTTCACTAAAATCATTCTGGGTTGTCAAGCGACAGCGTACACAAAGGTGAAGAACGCACAAAAATGCTGAAATAATTACTCCAGTGTATTCAATCTTCATGTTTAAAGGATTTGTTGTGGAACAAACTAAGTTTCTTGAAGTCTCCTGGCCGAAACTATCAACCTTTCATGACGACTTTCTGGAGCAAACTTTGAGCCAAATATGTTTCCTTCTAACTTTAGTCTGCAAAATTTTGGAAGAAATCCTCTAAAAGGGCTCCATATGGCAATTAAACAACAAACTACTGTGGCAAATACTTGATTTGCTCTGAACACTCTGTGTTTAACAATAGGAACGTCCAACAATAAATTTGGGAATTGGCAAGTACGGGGAAAAGTTCCAACACATGACCGAGACATTTCCAGTGTTTGTGAAAGTGAAGAATCTAGTCTTATTATTCAAGTACTTTGGCCACACCTAAACACATACAAATCTAAACTTCTCATTCAGAAGAAGCAATCAGAGGCTAAATACGGAGCTCAATTTGCCTGGACCCAAGAAAGATCCACTTTACCCCGCTGTCCGTCGGAGTGGTCTTCACTCTGAGTCTGGGGTGGGGGTGGGGACACCAACTCTCTTAATGGGTCTCATATGACTCTGTCCTTGCTCTGAACCACTAGTCGGGGAAGACCACCCCTCAGAAGCATGACTGGCTGACTGGGGAATGCCTTGTCACTGAACAGATGGAGATCCACAGACAATAGAGTTGCATGCATTTACTGGGCCTGTGTATGAAGGCATGCGCCGATTGTCCAAGTGTGTCCAAGTGTGCTTGTGTGAAAAAGAAAGAGAAATACCATTATTTGGAACACCATACTGAGACAGGTTTGATCTCCTGGTTCCCCCCAGTCATATCATTGAAGGGGGAGATTACATGCTCGTTTCCAACAAAGAAGCAGCTCCGAAAAGCTGTGAGAATGATGCAATCAGAACCCAAAGGACAAAACTCACGAATCGGCGTGATGCAATGAGAAGAGACGGAAGATATCACAGAGACAGGTCTTAGACGTGAAACTTTTGGGTGACTGGTTAAGTGGCCTGGCTGTCCCGGATGAGAAAAACATAAACTTATATGAGCCAGTAATTACAAAAATAAAGATAAAAAAACAAACAGATGTGTCATTCCTGATCCAATAATGACGTAATGACCACCGTTTCCGGACATAAAAGGCTGAAACAGATTGATAATAAGATGCGTTTTTTTCCCCCAACAAGACTGTAAAGTTTGGGCTTTTTTCCCCCTGATTTTGTTTTTCACAATCGTTTCCAAGGCAACATTTGGAGCCTTCTGCGGGCCATATGAGGCTGCCGGACATCGGGGTGCTGCTCTGATACTGTCGTGCTCTTTTACTGACCAGGGATCTTTTAACGCATCACCGGGAAGACTGAAGCTGCCACATTTCATTCATTTCGCATACGCGGGCCCCGCCGGTGGGATGCGCATCAAACGCACCAAAAAAAAAAAACCAGATCCCCAAATCCGATACGAGATCAGACTGCGTGATGTGTTTGTTTGTTTGTATGTTTCGCGTCTGTGTGTTTTGGATGCAATCAGATGGGTATAAACGCGTTACCCGGTTACCTAATAACCCTGGAAGTGTCAGGGGGGGGGGAATCCGGTGAACTCACCCAAGAGAACGACGGATGATCGGCTCCCAGCTCTGTGCTTCTGTGTAAATCCAGGACCCCGGACAGAAATGTGGTTACTCAGAGGAGGAATCTAGTGGAAGTGATTTCACCCAAAAAAATCCTGTTCATCCGCGCAATATGGAAGCGGTGCGAGGAGGCGACGTGGAGCCTTGCAAATGCAACCCGGTCTGCGCAGGAAAACTCTCAGTTAAAGAGATTCCCAGCAGCAAGAGATCTGTCTTGCTCGATTTTTTTTCTATTTCTTTTTTTTTTTTTTAAAGGGGTGTCGAGGGTGATTGCGGTGGCAACTGGCGTGTGTGTGTGTAGTAATCTCGGATGCTTTGGTTGTTGACTGTGCGCTCACTGGGGGCTGCTTCCCCCGGCTCCACCCGCTAACCCAGCCTTCCCAGTGCGCCCATTGGCACAGAACGCCGGACATGCAAATTCGCTCTTCCCATTGATGTTTTCCAAAAAGAAAAAAGAAAAAAACTAAAAGAGAGAGCTCGAGGTTTTTTCTTTTTTTTTTCTTTCTTGGGTTGCTCTCCTGCGCCCCCGTGCGGCCCATCTGAACCAAACACGTCCGAGTTGCCCCTCAAAGTTGCAACATTTTTCATTCACTTAATCATATATATATGAATAAATATATTATTTTTTCCTGCTGTAGTTGGTAACTTTGAAAATGGTAAAGAGTTCATGTATATGCAGAGGCTCTGTTGGTGATGGTTTCTGGACATTAGATAATTAAAACATTTTTTTAACAATCCCTGCCTACCAGTCTGCCGTGAGGCCTCCTCGAAACCATCCAAGACAAAACGTCAGAAAGAGCCCATTCTGCTCCAATGAACTGAGGCCAGCTTCCTTTTTACATGCAAAGAAATCCGCCAACTTTCCACAGAATGAGACTACAAGAAAAGAATGTCACTTTTTTTCTTCCCTCAACATGTGCTGCAGTCTTTAAACGTGTCCGTTTCCCCAAAGTCAGAAAAATAAACAGTGGTTTTGACGTAACACAGGAGCCGATCTAACTTTTAAGAACAGATCAGCGGATGTTCTGTGCAGTGTTTAACTAAACTTAGCGAGAAAAGGCTTACGTGAATTAACAGAAGAGTAAAAACATATACATTTCTTCTCCTGGGAGAGCCTCTCACCTCAGTGAAAATGTTTTTTCCTCTTTTTGGAAACCATACGGGCAATGCCACCATCACGCCGGGCTATTACAGTATTCGAGCTAAATTCATCATTATTGGTCTCAGACATCAATATCAGGCGTTTGAAGGGAAAGAGTATGGTCAGATGTGACCTCGAATCAGTGGCATTTTCTAAAAAGGTCTAAAAACAAAAAGGGAAAAAAATCAATACAGAGGAAAAATCCTTGGCTTGTAGATTCTTGACATCTGCCAGTAAAGATCAATTTTGTGATCATTTCAAACACACACACAGACACGCAATCTAAATAAAAGCTTTCCCAAGTTTAATTTTTTTTTTTTTAAATAAAGAAAAACACAGCACACTGCAGTAAAGTAAGTAGTACACAATAAAGGGGCGCTAACGGGTTGGAAATGAGACCGATGGAGTTTTAGGTCAAGTACACTTCATAATGCAAGGCCATTACTCAGTGGAGTTCCATTAGACTAATTCCTCGATAATCTGTTCATCTAGTCTGGCAGCCATCACATTCGAGCATAAGCTTTGTTCACCAGCAATAAATTACGCTTTACAAAGAGGAGCAGTTGGCAGCATCTACAATTCTGTGCATGGCTTATTATCTCCACATCAGACGAGATATTCCCTCTTTTATGAACGTGGTGGACTTTGCCATCAAAATGAGTATTAAATTGGAATGAATTCCTTTTTAGCAAAAACAGAGAAAACACATCTTGAGAGAAAGCAGCTCTGTGAGTAGTGTTTGTTGTGACGGAAATTATTTCTCATGATAGAATTCATTGACAATCTATTGGGCTTCAATGTGAATTACTCCCTTTAACTTCACATTTAATTTGAAATAATTACAGTTTTATGATTAAAGTCTATAGATGAGCTCAGTCACAGTGGTGTTCTGAGCTGAGGGTTGGGCAACCCCCTGAATTATTTCTTCACTCTGATATAAATCCAGCACGGAGGGACAAGCAGAGAAAGCGGAGATCCTCATTAGAACGCAAGCCGTCTGTAACACATCAACATGGAGTCCCATCCAGAGTCTCCGCCTGCGCGTTGTGGCCACAGGGCGATTCTCTCTGTTTCGCGGGCTCATGAGGGCGTGGGGGGGTCGTACCTCGGCGTTCAGGCGATGGCCTGCGCCGCCTGCTGTGCGTGCCTCCTCTGGTTGTAGGCGTTGTATATGTCCATGAACATGTCTCTGCAGGGTATGCTTGCCCTCAGCTTGGAGCAGATGAGGAAAGAGCCGGCCATCTTGCGGTGGAGAGAGTACGTCTCTTCGGGGGGAGGCGTGAGGCGGTGGCGCAGCATGACGGGAATGAGGTTCTGGATCCGCTGGGTCGTGCTCTGAGCGCCGAAGTCGAAGGGCTCGGTGGACGCGAAGGCTTCGCCGAGGATCATGACCGCCTCGACGTGGGCATCCTTGAAGGCCTGTTTCAAAGACCGGAAATATGAGTGGGTTTTTCCCTTTTTATCCCATGTTTTCTTTATTTACCGTCACTCTTTATAGACAAGGCTGTGTAAATATCTTATTTAGTGAACTGACTTACTGAGTGAAACAATGTCTAGAATGAATAGTCCAAATGGACGGAGAAGCCAGAAGAGACAGCAGAATAAACCCTCTCAAAAATAAATGAGCCCAGCCGCTGAGACTAAAATAACCCACCTTGGCCTCGAAGCCTGTCAGGAACTTGAGGTCCATCGATTTGGAGAGAACGGTGTCACGATCTCCAATAGAGGCCGCGTGAACCACCTGAACACATGACACAGGAGATCAGAATAAATCACGGTCACAGCCCACTTTGGTCCGCGTGCCTCTCGGGGGCGTGTAGCCAAATTTAGCCAAAACTCCGGTTTTTCAATAATTCACCAGAATTCTGGTGAATAAGTCATGCCTACCTGTATGTAGTCATCTGTGAATTTTTCTTCATAGTCTCTGCATGCCCCAAAGTCTAAAAGAATCACCTGAGGAAAGAAAGAGGCATTTTCAAACATGAAAAATAATCAAATGAAAGTTATCGGACATTGAGAATCTGGTCCATGCAAAAAGCTCTAGACGTAACCATAAACTGGACGACACGACATCTCTTTACGTTTAAAGGTCCACTGAAATCATGGCTCATTCTCACCTGGTTTGTTTCAGAGTTGTAGAAGAAGTTGGACCAGTTTGGGTCCGTCTGCATGAATCTGAACTCAAACAGCTCCCTAAGACAAAGCTGGAGGATCTTGAAACAGATCTGGAAAGAGAAGGGGAGCATGTGTAAATGCATGATGTCTTTTGCAACACTACAATGAGACACTCATGAGTTGGAAAAGTCAACAGAATTGGGAAGGGGCGAGGAGTAAAAACATCTACTAAACTTGACATTTCTTGAAAATACCCAAAAAAGTTACCAGGAAACACTTTTAATAATGAATTGGATGTTGCTGCAGAATGCTCAAGCTAAGGAAGAAGAAAACTGTACTAAGATGACCTGCTGCCTAAAAAAAAAAGTTGTGTGCATGCTGAATCATTTAGTATTTGAGGAAAGACAGCGGTGATGATGAAAACCCTCAGATCTAAAACGGGATGCAGTTACCCAACCCTGCAGAGGAGCTCGTGTTTGGGTTAGAATTCAGCGTTGAAGTAGAGGAATTATTTTTTCTTTTTAAGAATGACTGGATGCGTTAAAAGTAGCCCATCACTTGTCTGTGTGGTCCAAATTTATTTAAAGCAATGGCATGGTCATCTGGACAAAGCAGTTGTCCTGTTGTGTCAAATATTTATAACATACTTTGCATTGTTTTTTGGCAGGAAATTCACTCAAAGAGGACCTTGGAAAAACGGATGTTGGTTGAAATCAGATTACAAACTGGTGTCCTGACACTCACTCCAGACACTTGTGTTAAGTGTTTGGATGGAAAGGGCAGGCTGTACCCTTGTGTGTGGGAGTGTCCAGAGTTGAATAAATACTTGAAAACTGTCGTTCAGAAGATGTCTGAGGTTGGAGGGCTGAAGGTTCCCCAAAAAGCAAAGCTGTTTGTACTTGGTAAGTATCGAGACAATATTAGTGTTAGCTCAAAACAATCAGTTCTGACGGCTTTGGTGACTTTGGCGGAGAATGATTGCCTTGTCAGCTAATATACCTTCCATATTTGTGGGTGACTTATATTAGCTGAGTGGTTTGTGATGTTGTCATTTATACCATTATTCACTTAATGCTTTGTTTGATGTTTAAAATGTGTCTCATTTCCTTTGTCAAATATATATTTGTGTGTTTATATATATTCAATATGTCTAAAGGGAAAAAAATATAATCATGCAACAGAACAATGATCCCAGACGCACCAGCAAACCTAAAACAGAGTGGTTGATAAACAAAAAACAAAGAATGCCAGTGTTGTAATCATCTATACAGTTTCTTTTTTTCCCTTTTAATTTGACTGAGCCTTTAGCCCAGTTCAGCATCACCATCTCAATAATACCACCTTGGACACAAACCTCCGATCTATTTATCATGCTCCGTTACCGTCGTAAGTAAACAGAGATACCACAACAAATGGGATTGCGGGCTAAACAGAAGCAGAGGAAAACTGCACCTGGTTTCTTGTTTCCTGATCCAGGTCCACACAGCGGTCTAGTGGAACTCCCTGCACCAGTTCCATGGCCAGCACCCTCCGCCCCGACAGCTCGTCAATCACTTCAGGGACTTTAAAATACTCATTTCCTTCGAGCAGCGACCTGAAACCACACAAAGGGCAGAAAACCTGTTGCTAATTTGCAGATTAGCAAATAGTTGGGTGTATTTAAAATAGCTAAATTTCTCCAAACTGACAAATAGCTTCACAGGGAGAAAGTGACCGTGGGAAAATATCAAGTTTCCTGTCCTAACTACAAAAAAAAAACTCTGCAATGAGGTGACTTGGTGCGGTGTGCATAGTTTCTTTGCTGCAAAGCAGCTGCTGTGCGAGCTTCGGTTGCAAACTTTAGTCTAGTGCTACCTGAACTTCTTGGCACACTCCGCTTCACGCTTATAGTCGCACTCCCACGCCAACTCCCTCTGAAGAACTTCCAAACTGCTGTCTGCAAACAGACCTGTGGAAAAACAGAGCAAGAACTCATTAACTTGTGCATATGGTGTCACATTAAATAGGCAACCAAGTCGTGTTGTGCCAAAAATTGAGTAATTTGAAACTTCGGAGTGGCAGGGATTTTCACACTTCCCTGAAGCTTAACAAATCTAAGTTTGAAACGCATTCATTCTGGATACTAAACCCATCAGAGCACACAGAAAACTCTTTATCGTCTGCCAGCAGTAACCATGCACATTATTGTGATGTTTTCATATGACCAAAATGCTGTGGTTCCCTTATCAAGAAGGAATATAAATGTTTTGGATCTAAAAGAAAAAAATAAAAGAAATTGCAGGAAGCACCATCTCGGTTTGTGACACACAACATTTCATGTTTTCTCTTAAAAAAAGACAGAGAACTGTAATAATTTATCTGTGAGCTACAGCACCACCTCATGGCAGAATTTGGATTTTTTTAAAGGAAGTGAAAATAAAACATAACTGCAGAGTGAGTAGACCTCTCCTGTAGATGATATGAGTATGAGAATTTAAGATGTTTCAAGAGTAGGAAAAGGTGGATTATTTCACTGAAAACAATCAAATCCCTCTGTCTCAATTAGCAAAAGAAGTAACTTACTCTTAGAAGCGTCATATCTAATCCTACTTTACAAAACATAAATAGATGACCTCCAAAATTTCAAAGCCTCTTTCCACAGAGTTTTTTCAGTTCTTTATAATATGCTTGCAATATCATGTCCCCTTCAATCCAGTTTTTTGTTTATTTGACCTAAACTGTTTTGTGACATGGTAAATCTGAAAACTTTTTTGGAGATGTTTTTTTAATTCTTCATTCTCAGTCTTTTTATTTGTGCATCCATCCACTTGTTTTTTTATGGCAACTGGTTAACAGAAAAGAATGAGCTGCAATTTTCTATAGAAAGACACAAATAGCTAAATAACATAAATTACTCAATGTAAACATCTGGTATGTAGTCGTTCAGACTTTTTCTTATGTCATCAAGTCTTTTGGTGAACTTTGGACCTCTGCCCAGTTTTTTTCTCTCCCAATCATTGTTTAACAGTAATCAAGCTTTCTGGAAACATGGAGACAAAAGTGTGGTGACTATTGAACGTTGTTCTCCGAGCAAACGTTCGTGCAGATGTTACCTTCTGGCATTGCCACGCTCATTCTCAGCACTGACATCAGGTTGTCTATGTCGCTTTGGATGCTCTCTGCCACTCCTGGGTACTGGAAAAGACGAGGGCGACGGACGCTCGAATCAATGTGGATGCCGAGGCAAACGTTTTCAGGGGGCAGAACAAATATTTGCGACATGCGCAAGGATCCCCCCCTACCTGGATCTTCATGGCGATCTCCCTGCCGTCTTTTAAAACCCCGTGGTGCACCTGGCCGATGGAGGCTGCGGCGAAAGGTTTCTCCTCAAACGACGAGAGCTTCTCTCTCCAGCCGGGCCCAAGCTCCTCCTCCAGAACCTTCTGCTCAATGGGAAACACGGGTCTCAACTCTTTCCTTAAAGGCTTCTGAACACGTTTGCTGCATTAGAAGGACGTGTCACGCTTACGTTCATCTGCCATGGGGGCATGAAGTCTGCGCTCTGTCGGACTCTTTCGAAGATCTTCTGCAGCTGGGGGTTGATGAAGGTGTTGTCTGGTAGGGGAGAACAAACAAAGAGGTTGTGAGAGAACTACCTGTGAGAGAGCATGAGGACGGCGGTGCTCTTGATGCCATCCGGTGAGTTACCTTGTATGCTGAGCATTTGGCCTATCTTGAGTGCAGCCCCACGGACTTTACACAGCGTGTTGACGATCCTCTCAGCGTTGGCCTCTGATAGGAAGGGCGAGTCTAGCAGGGCGCTCATGTCTGTAAAAAAGCGGCCCAGAGAAATTTAGAGCTGTTAACAGAACCGCTGGGGCATATAAAAAGGTTCAGTAGCATGAGATTCGGACAATTATCTGAAAAGGTCTTTAAAGTGTTCCAAGAGAATCAGGATCAACAGACACACAGTGAGTGTCTCTATACCTCCTTTTTGTTTGCCTCCCAGTGATTGTTTAGCCACTTCTGCAATGGCACCAATACCAAGTCCTACTGCCAGACCTGCAGCAGACACAACAGAGTAAAGACCTTTCAGTTTTATTCCCAAGGATGCATGAGGAGCGCACCGTTTGCACAGACACCGTTTCTATCTGAAAGATGAAATTCAAAGAGATGTTTTTTAAAACTTTATGACAAAGACAGGATTAAAAAGCACTGTGGAAAAAAGAAAAATCTGCAGGAGACCCCTTTCTTAGCAAACATGAGCTGCTTTTCGTTGTTGGAGTGAACAGAAAGTGAACAGAAAAAATAACTGAGCTGTGATTGAGCAAATCAACCTGACAAAAGTTTAGTAAATCCATTTGAATTTTTTTATTTAACAACGCACAGATCTAACTAGCTATCTACATTGGACATCTAACCCCAAAACAATACATTTAATAATTTGCCTTAATAGCATCTAAATACTTTATCTAATTACTTTAACGACTCGCTTTAATTGTTTAAAACCCACAAAAAATCATTTGTGCTTTCGTCGTTGAGTCAATCAGCCATATGAACAGCCAGGGGGTGCAGCAGATTCTTCGTAGGTATGAATTGAACAATACTCAATTTAAGGCGCAACGTGTATGTAAGGAATAAAAACCAGCCTGTGCCTCAATTTCAGTGCTTTTTAATGTTGTCTTTGCACCATTTACAATTAAACAAATGGCTCGGAATTAGTTGCTGGCAGGTATAGCAAACGGGTAGCTGTCTCATGACTGCATCGAAACCTGGCATTCTTACCCCCAAAGTTGACGAGCCGGCTGATCCGTGTAGCGGGGACCTTCCTCTCTTTGGCATGGTCACTCAGCTGCAGGAAGTCAACGAGAGCAATTAGGGGATAAAAAAAAACAGGGGGTGTCCCTTATCGATAGGGGATAAAAATACAAATAAAATCAGAAAATAGATTATCTGAAAATATAAAAATGAACAAATTTTTGCTAGAATAATCAAATGGTTGGAGTCTTGAAACCAACCTTCTGCCTGACCGGTTTGACTAGCGCCTGCTTGGCCTCCCTGGCCTTCTTGATATCTTCGGGTGTGAGTTTGGCTACTACTGTATTGTGGACGGACCTGGTCTGGTAGTAGTACCTCTGGAGGCCGGTGGAGGTGTGCAAGAAGCGAGTGCTCTGTCCTGGCCAACCACTTCCTCCTCCTCCTGCTGTACCTGGAGCAGGAAAAGAGGAGGGATCCGTACTTTACAAAGGCCAAAACATCCTCCTGCGAACAGTAAGCGCCCCCTTTTTAAAACGCATGTAAAAAGGCGGGACTGTTGTGCCTGCATGCTGTTTCTCAGGTACATCGTGTGCCTGTGGCACAGAGCTCTATCTCTGTGCCACAAAAAAAACTGAATGGGGCAAAACATTACAGCTAGTTTCAAATGTAGAACCCTACAGATACTTGAACACCCTTTTGCTTAACTTGTTTTCATCTCATTATGATCAGGACCACATATGTTGATGTGTTATAACAGACAGGTTTTTGTCAAAGTCGGGTCTTTTTTATATCTTTATTCCTTTTTTAATGGCAGACAAATTATTGTAAAACAATTACTTCCACAACCACAACAACTGATCCTATCAGTCCAAAAATCAAACCTTTTTTTTCCAGATAAAGAAAAAAGCTGGGAAAACAGCTTTAATCTGCTGTTATACAGGAATGCTGCTGTTGCATCCAACCAGTTGTCATTTTACTGGACTAACTATTTATTTAACCTTAATTAAAAGTCCTTATTTGAAATTAAATCATTCAAAACTATCTATTAAATTTCTTTCACAACCACAACAACTGATCCCATCAGTCCAAAAGTCAAACCTTTTTTTTTTTTCAGATAAAGAGTTAAGTTTAGTTTACAGATAATTTAATTGTCGCTTGCAAAGAATGTAGTTCAACGTGTTTGATACAACAGTACCTGTGTGTGTCCCTGTGGCAGGTCCAGTTTCCGCCTGGCTTTTCTCCACAGCATCAGGGAACTCAGATCCAACTGCCCACTTGGCTGCTTCATCAGGATCCATATTTTCCCAGCCCTCTGCATCTGGGAACACGTCCTCCTTTATAGACTGCTGCAAGAAAGAAACAAGTGCAATCGCTTACGTCATCCAAGCAAGGACAGTCTCAGTTACAAACAGCTTCTGCATATTTGTGTGTGTTTTATAAAAGGCAACTGCACTCACCTGATTGGAGGCACCCATAAAAGTATTCACCAGTCCTTCCACCACATCCTGGGCCGCTTGGAATCCTGCACCCACGGTTGAATTGCAGGCCATTAACCGGAGCTGCTCTCCTTGAGTAGTGACCAGTGCGGTGCCCACTTTACCCGCACCACGGAGCACCTGGACGACTTCTGAGAGCATCACTTTAAACACAAGGGGCGAGACAAGAGGAAATTTGTTATAACGGATATGGATATCTATAATTAAATACACCAAATACACTATAAAATCACGATCATTTCCATCGTGGGAGCGATGCATCATAGTCTAAAACGAATATCGGTGTTTTGCGAAGGTTTTCACTCAGCTGAGGGGGTTTAACCTTGGATATAACTGACCGCTCGTGTGTCAAGACGTGTCCCGTACCACGTGTTGTCTTATAACACATAATCATAGTCCTCACTGATACCAACTTACATCGAATACACAAGAGGCAGCACTCACAGTTGAGTGCGTTAATAGCCTGCTGGTTAACTCCAAAGCTCTGTTTGTGTCAACCATGTTGAGTATCAGAGGCAGCTGCGTAATGATGTTCAAAATCTCAAGTTAGCTTCATCTGCACACGTAATCCAAGGACTCTCTTTTATCACTATCTCTATTTTTTTTATCCAAGACTAGCCTGAATGCGTACCACTGCCATGGAGCAAACGAAAGTACTTACTTTTCCTATAATAAACGGTACCCAGCGTTTTCTCTGGTTTCGTCCTCTTCCCCCGCTGTGCAGACTGTTTTGTAACGAATCGACACCCGGAAGTGGGTCTTTGACTGACTTGACCAGGGTCCAATCCGATCCATAGATAGGCGGGGTTCGAGTCGCAGGAGGCAGGATATGTCACACGAACCAATAGAAGAGCAAAATAACGTGTGACGAACACAATTTCGAGCCTGCTTGTCGAATTACCGTCACCAAAAGGCGGGCCTTAGAGGCAATGAACATCCATTAAGAGTATAGGGGTGGTATCATTTGAAAGAGAAATCCCAACATGCACGTGCTGCCAGGTACAGTTACCAAACTAGGGATATTTACATAAACTCTATAGATTTGTCTTTATTTTAATTAAAATATTTTGGATACAGCATAAAAAACCTTTTTATCTGATATTTAACTGATAAAATGTCCTTCTATATGTTCATATGATTATTATGTATAGCTGTGAAAAAACATTTTGTGTGTAGAAAATTGTATTTTAAGAACGTCCCAGCCGTGATGACGCTGATCATCTTAGATTGCCTATACAATCTCCCATTGTCATTTAGCTGACTGACAATTAGAGCCATGGTACACGACTCAAACCTTTAGGGTAGTTTGTTTAAATGCCATCTGAAAGTCAAATCTTTCATACAGCATAATTCATTATGTGAAATTAATTTATGTTCTCATTATGATTGCTGTCTAGAGGACATAACTTCATAAAAGTTCAGTGACGCACTTACTACAGCATGCCTATCATGCCTATCAGAGGATCAAATGCTGGCTTTACCTTATGAATTAATGGGATTCTTGTCAGACAAAACCAAATCATTGTGAATGAACAGCAACAGTTAATTGTAAACAACTATTTTAATATACTTTCATATTCATTAATAAAGCACATACAACACAAAAACAAAAGAAAGAGTCATATATAAATGATTTAATATAATATAAAATATGTTAACAAGGTTTTTTTTCTTCCTATTTTCATAGGTAGGTCAAAATTTTTGGAGATATGTTATTGAAAAAATAATTATTGAAACATATAATTAAACATATAACATATAAACACATAATTGAAAAAAAAAGAAGGATGTTCCCCAAGCCACTGGAACACAGCAGCCCAGCGGGATAAACTGGCTAATATTGGGGTTTTGTTTGGTTTTGTTTGTTGACTGTTTGTCTAAACCTGTATTGCTTTGGTAATAGGCAATACAGAAGAGTGCTAACCTGTTACATGAGCCCTTCCAAAACAGCTCCTGGGTCACAGGTGTTTTTGCCCTCCTCAGATCCACTATTGGCTCCTTAGTCTTTGTCACATTGAGCTGCAAATGGTTCAGCTCACTCCAAGTGACAAAGTTTCCCACCACAGTCCTATATTCACTCTCATCACCCTTTTCGATGCAGCCAACTCTTGTTGAGTCGTCAGAAAATTTCTGAAGGTGGCAGGACTAGCAATAGTTGAAGACTGAGGTGAAGAGGGTGAAGAGTAAGTGAGAGAGGACAGTCTCCTGAGGGGCCCCGGTATTGCTGACACCCCTGTCAGACACACAGTTCTGTAGGCGTACATACTGTGGTCTGTCCGTCAGGTAATCAACAATCCAGGACACGATGGGGGCCTCCACCTGCATCGCAGTCATCTTCTCACCCATTAGAGCCGGATTGATGGTGTTGAAAGCACTGGAGAAATCAAAGACCATTATTCTCATAGTGCTCGACGGCTTTTCCAGATAAGTGTAGACTCTGTTCAGCAGGTAGATGATGCTGTCCTCAACTCCCAGGTGGGGCTGGTAGCCAAACTGTAGTGGATCAGTGAAGGTCCCGACCACAGACCGTAGCGGCTCCAGGACCAACCTCTCGAAGGTCTTCATGATGCGGGACGTCAGTGCCACCGGTCTGTAGGCCTGAGGGCCTCTAGGACGCGGCGTCTTTGGCACAGGAACGCGGAAGGACGTCTTCCACAGCACGGGGACTCTCTGCAGAAATGTTCAGAAGTACTCATTATACTAACTAACTATGGTGAAATTGTATACGGTGCAAGTGGTATCATAACAAGTGGCTTTGCCATATCAAACAATGTCATCTAATAGGAATTGGATTATTTGTAATCTAATAATGGACATAGTTAGTAGTTACAGTCAGACATTAAGACAGTAGTCACAATCACACAAATACATCAACTGGAAAGTACTGAAATGAACAGAAATCATGACACAATATAACTGGAACCGATGCACTTGTTTACTGGCCTAATGTGGGAGTAGAAGATGCCGTCATCCGTCTGCTGCATCATGCTCCCTCTCTCTGCAAGTGTGGTGATGGCACTGTAAGAGCAAACTTCTTTTTCTTTTTCCACTGCCCCCAGGGGCAGCTTTCCAGGATGCATGTGTCAGCGTTTCTGGGGAAACAACCTGTTTGATGGGGTGGTTGGAAATGCAGTATCGCACGAGACTGTTCCATCTTCATTTCTGCTCACGCTATTCACCTAAAATGTTCAATCTTGTGGGTCATGCCAACTGTTCTCTGACACGTTTTTAACCGTGCAGTATATCAGACTCATGTAGAGCTTGAAAGTGGCAGATATTTTGGTGGCCTGGTCTTAACCCAACCCATCAACATCTTGGACGATGAGACTGAAGCTTCAAAGCAATTCAAGTCTACCTGGACCACAGATGTTGTGTATTAAAAGTAGGCCCTTCTTCCTGAGGAATATGTAATATGTTCTGCTATCATGAGGTAATGTGATTAGTGCTGACTACATCCCATGTCTTCCGCAATACTTTGCGGTGATGGACAAACTCTTAATACACTCATTCAGGTCAGCTATTCAAAAATAGTGCTTCAACGGATTCATCACAGCCTTTTATCGTTTCGTTGTATAACTAATCACTCTGTATGACAGCATTATCTCTGATAAACACTCTTTATTTGAAAAAGTTACACTTCTTGTTATCAGATACTTGTCATATTGTATATAGATAAAAAATGTTTGCTGTCTATAAACTAGTATTACTGTTTTTATTGACTAGGGGAACATGCTCGACAGTCAATTATTATTTAAATCACGACTTCCAGACAAAGAAAAAACACCCGGCGATTTTCCACTTTTCTTCAGTAAAGATAGCTTTTTTTCCCAGAGAACATGGCCGTATTTCTGGATATGTTCATATTTGGATTCATCTTTGCGCGACAGCACATTAACCCACGTTTATGTACTTATATGTGAAGGAAAGTGAATTTAGTATTGATTTCTGTGTCAGATAATGTTGGTAACAGCCAGAAGTGCAAATCAAGTGCAGCAATAAATCCATCAGGGTAAAGAGATTCCTCCTTTTTTTTTATTGTGCATTTTATCTTATGTATTGTAGACGGCGACGGCCAGAGAAAGGCTCTTTAAAGCCCACATTGACCTATAGAATGTGCACACAATGCAGTGGCATCTGGCCTTCTGCTTGGCTCGCATTGTATTGCTCAAAGCTGTTCCCTCTCTTCTCATGTGTAAAATATTCTGATCACTAGGACAAGCGTATATTTCTAATATAGAATTGAAAGATGCTTGTGAAAAACTTCTGCTCAAAAGCACCTAAATACACTGAAAGTTATGACTAAAACTCAAATGATCCCTTTTTGCAGGTTGATATCGGTTTCAATGGAGATTAATTTATGTTATAGTTTATCATGTTGAAAATTAAAGAAATACTAAATGAAAGAAGAATCAGAACAAGTTGTGAAGATGTCACAAACTTTCATTTTAAATATATATATTACTTGAGACTGGCAACACAGTTAACCAAGTGTCGACTATACGATTTGGTAAATTTATCATTAACGCCTGTGAATTATATCCAGCGTTGCAATTTCACTGTGTTCCAGTGTTGTGAATATGGGGGGAGCGGGGGGCAGTAAAGGGAGGGAGCTGTGCAGACGCCATATATGGGCACACCATCGACTCTGCACTACGATTGGTTGAAGGCCCTATGCAGCTGCTTGTCAACAAGATGGCCTTCCTCCTCTAGCCGTTTTGACACTGATTATTTTGGTATCCCGAGAACATACCGTAAAAGCTTCTGTCAGTTCCAAATAGATAGTGGGGGAGCGATTATTAAAAGTCCTAACAAGGCGCAGAGTCAACTAGTCTGTGTTCAGAGAACTGACAGGCACACAAGCAACGATATCGGCCACCACAAGACAAGGTTGATAATTGAAAGTTGCTTTAGGCTAATGTCGACGTTAGCCTGCTAGTAAGCTAGTTTAGCTACGTGGACTCGGATACTCAACTCGTGTCACCTGCATTTCACCAAACAGACTGGTTTGGTCAGAAGAAAACACAGAGAAGAAAATACTCCTTTGTAATCGTCGGAAAATCTAGAGGATTGGCTGTGACACCGCTAAGGTAATGTAGCTTGGACGCTATAAAGCTCAGAGTTGGTCTTTTTTTTTAAACCGTAGCTTGTTAGCAAGGTCTGTCATGTTATTATGCAGGTAAGTTGTGCTCATCAATTAGCCAGCTCGGGAGAGACCTGTTTTGTATTTTTTGTATTTTTTAACTGGTGGTTCATTCTCTACATAATGGCTGAGAGTTTCGCAAAGAGTTTATTTGGACGTTAGTTGAAAACAATAACTACAGTTCACCAGGTTCCCTCACCAGATTATGTGCCTGCCATTTGCGTTACTACGATGCTATGTATGCTAAATGTTCAACCAGCTAGTGTCCCACTGTATGTCGATCAAAGACCTTTAAATGTGATTGCGACAATACAAAATAATTTTATGGATATTGCTGTTTATTCACAGTAATTTGGTGTATCCAATCCGTTGTCAATCGAGAGATTGCTGATATTTCAGTTTGCTTGTTCAGGGTCATTAGGTTATCGAAAACAGTCAGAAAAGTAATAGTTAGGTGACCTGTAGGCCTTCGGTTTGACTGAACATTTAGCCACAGGTAGAATAAAGCCACGGCATACCCTCGCAACGGCATAGACATTTATATTTGTTGATGTACCTTTAATATCATTAACTTAATGCTGTTAAAGAGACAGCTCCCTTAATCGCGGTTATTGTAATCGAAAGCCATATTGTTCGGGCATGTAGGCTTAAATCTTTGTGATATTTTTAAGTAAACAAAAATAATTGTCCGCGTATTGGACAGTGCCATAGAACGCCCTTCAGTACGTCAATATATGAGCATGTTTAGCTGCAATTACATTATCACAGAAAAGATCAATAATAATAATAATAATAACAGGCCCAAAAATATGATCTGCACACTAATCTCTGCCCTCTACCGTAACTCATTGTAAGGAGGCATAAAAAGACACAGAAACTTGTGGCCCATAAAAGCTAGCAGTCATTGCTATATTAATGTCATTGTGGTTGATATACCAGTAGCAGACTAACATTTTGCTGTTTGAAGTGTTTTTTGTTAGACAATGCATGATGGACCTTCTTTTAAGGTGTTCAGTAGGATAGAGCGCTATGTTGACACAGGATTGTCTTATCAAAGCTTGGTTCAGTCTTGACGTGTGACAGTATTGGAGCAAAAAAAAACATGCCTATGCTCAAACACGCACATAGCCTCAGAGTCAGTCAGTCAGTCAGTCAGTTGCTTTTCCCAGGTGAATTGACATGAAAGAAAAGCTGGTTCCTTGTCTGTTACATTGTCCTCAGAGATGCACGCAGAGAAGGAGATTAATATTTTTTTGCATGCTTCTGTTCTCTTATTAATATAATTTTTGTATTACAGTTCAGAAAGGAAGATGGAGGAGGATGATGGAGGATTCAGCTTGGTTGAACTTAACTTGTTGCCATCATAAAATCCTCAGACACAATTCCTGACAGTTGGAAGTTAAATGCTCAGTTTGATTTGGAAGTCTTTGACACTGATGCAGATCTTTCTGATTCAGCATTTAAACAAACTAAACAAACTAGTTTACATTTCTTTTCAATGTTTTCCATCAATATATTAAATGCTGTTTTGTATACAAATAAAACCAAGGTGCTGATATATTTCAATACACCCGTACCTACATAAATGTTGCATTGTGAGAAATTCATTGCAGATTACTGTCTTTTTGACTGCAGCAGTAATCTTAAGGCCTTTGACTATAGAAAGCAGTAAGAGAAGCCATTTGTGTATCCAGACAAATTTTGCAACCTTAGTAGCAGTTAATCAGTGTTCAACACAGTGGAGGAATGATGTACTCTGTATTATTGACATTGTTTACTTACGTAGGTAGATAACAGAACAGCTATCTCAAATCTTGGTCTGATCCAATTAGCAGATCTATCTGGTTTCAGTACAGAGTAACGTGAAGTTTGATTGGACCCGTTTGGCATATTTCATGTTGGGAGAGCTTGACTTGCACTATCTTTGAATAAGTTTATTACTGACATGTTGCCATACTTTAAGAGCTGCTCACTTCTGCACATGGAGGTAGCTGTGTGCTAACGCGTAGAGGAAAAACACTCATGTCTGAGCGAGCGACTCAGTCATGGGTGCTGTTGTGGAGCTGCGGTGTCATTGGCTGCCACTGTGCTCGGACAGGATTTGAAAGATTAGTTTCTTGCAGAAAGCTTAGACCAAAACTCAAGGCTTTATTTGTGGGGAACTGCTTTTAAATAGGAACTGAATAATGGAGACACAACATCTCCAGCTGCCGGGCGCAATGCTGCTCTCCAAATACTCAACAAAATGGCCCTTTAGCTCATTTTAACCCACTCTTTTTTCACACCTTAAGACATTTGGAAGACACCTTACAGGTTTCTAGCAGCTGGAAACACGGGACATTAATGTTGGCTGCTGCACAAAAATTGCTCCACGCAGTATACCAGACATTTTAAAAAGCCAGCAGTCTGTGACCACACTGTTTCTTTGAGACTTTCATGATGAAAGGCAGTTAAATAGAACACACAGTGAAAGGGTTGTCCTTGTTTTGTTTTTTTGAAAGGCTTATGTTGTCAGATGACATTTCAGTGTTGAAACTGTATTAATCTATAATCTAAACAACCTAAAGCAGGCATGTATGTACTGTTCTGCATTTGTTCTGTAGACAGACAAAATGGACTGAAAGTACCTTGGAAATTCTTTCGTTGCTGGAACACATGATACAGTAAGCACAGACAGAAAGTAGGAAGCGATAGGATGGCGTTTTAACCTGATGACAGTAACATGAGTAACCCGGCTTTGTGAGTGTGTAATGCCTTGGCACATTTTAGCCAACGTGTGTTTGTGTGACTTCATAGTAGGGTGCAGCTGTGGGTGGATTGTCGGTCTTCTCGTTTCTCTCACAGTGTTGTCCAATGTGAGATTAACGATGCACATACAGGACAAAGAGTGCATGACCAGTAGATGGTGTGGTAGCAAAAAAGTCCATAAGAGATCATAGAGATGGAGCCATAAAAAGTTGTTTATTTTCACCTCCTCAGAACAGTATAATTAGTTGTAGTGGAGTTGTTGCTCTGTGATATCGAAGAAGCATATGTAAGGGTCACACCACGTGGGTGGTTTTTTGCTCTATTCACCTCTCTCAGCCAGTCCATTAGTCCAAATGAACAATGCACCGCACCGACAAAGAAACACAAAAGCCCTGTTTTAAAGCATATTACTTGAAACTTACAATGGTCAGATGGGCTGCATGTCAGGCATAGTCAAAACATAATCTCTCTGATAAATTTTGCCACACAGAAAGGTTATGTGAAGTGCTCAGCATTCAACAACTGAAGAACCAAGAGCATTTTGATCAGCTAGTTTGTATTCGCCCGCAAAGCACCATGTGAATATGTGTTGGTTTTACAAAGCTGCGCACAGTACGTGGAGTTTGCTACAAATTTTCTCTGTGCACGATGCCGTTTTTATCATACTGTAAGGGCACTGCTGAACCCTGCGGAAGAGTATTAACTTGTTTTGGGATTTTGTATCTCTTTCTTTTTGGGAAATGAGTTCAACCAATCAGATTACGTGATAATAAATCACAGCAGAATTGCTAAATGGTGTCTTTGTCATCTACTTCACCTCTACTGCAGAACCATAAATACAGAAAAAAAGTATTAAGTACTATCATTTTCACTTTGTAAAAGGTGTTAGCTTGGTAAAAATTACTGTGAAAGGAAGTGTTTGTATTTAATGAAAGGAAAGTGCTTTAACCCCAGACCAACTGCTCACTGACACAAAATAAGGTCTCTACTGATCTACAGATTGAAAGTATGAAAACATTATGTACCTGTAATTGTGATTAAAAGCACAATTTTTATGATGGCTTACTTCTAGCGTTAAAATTGTATATGGTGATTATACAATCACCATATACAACTGCAAAAAGGTAATGACCTTTTGCAGTTGTGCTGGTTGTGTGGCACAACCAGCAAATTTGCCAGTCTGCAACATTGCCCTTAACACATTGTCTGTATCAGACATGACCTAAATTAGATTTTATACAGCCCACAGCTTTAGGTTCAAAATATATTATTTAAGACCCACCACCCAACCGAAATTGATAAGCTGAGACCTGTTATGAGAGTTTGACTTTTAATATTAACATGATTTGAACCAGATCTCAGCAAAACTGTCCAGAAATTGGTTAAAAACCATTCAATTACATATGATACAGCATAACTTACTTCTGCAAGCATGAGAATAGTAAATAAATTAGTAAATTAGTAGAAAATCAGTTCAACTTTAAAGTATGCATACTCTGGGTCAAATAGTATGACTGCCCACCAAAGAAAACACTTTTAATTCATTATGATTGCACATCTTGATGAATTGCTTGTTAAAGCTAACTATTTGTTGCACTGGACGTGATTTTTTTTTTCCTTTCCTCTGATACCACAGTACCACAGGAAAAAGTGAGGGTTTAAGGTCTGCTTTAAAAAAAAAAAAAAGAATGGAAATGCAGCCATCCTCCTATTTGTATCTGCATTGAAACCATCACTAAAACACTGACTGACTCTGCGGCTGACAACATGATTCCCCCAAGAATTGTAAAGAGGTCAGGGTGTGAAAAGACGGCTCCTAATTATGTTCGACACAGGGGATTTGATGATGAAGCCTTTTTGATCTTTTTGTTCCATTTTTCATTTATTGTGTTATCAGCCATTCTAAGAGTTGAATTTCCTTGTTTTTTTTCTTGCATAGATTTGTTTAGGAATACTCTACTGTCTTATCTATCTAATATGTCATTAATTTGAAAACTTAATGGAAAAGACTAAGGAAAGAAATTCCATCTAAAACGTTTAGTTAGGGTCTTTGTCCATTGAAAATACAGTAATACAACTATCATGAACATTACAACAACCAGTGTAAAAACTACATTTGCAGAGAGACCACCTTTATCTGCAGATACGTGGATTGATGCTTTTTAAAACATAACTGTGAAGCATGATACTAAAATTTTATCATTTCTTAGAAACTTACACTTTTGGGTAAAAGTTTGTTTTGTTGACTTAAAGCATACAAATTTATTTGGAAAATGCATCATTTGAAAACAAGACATTTTTACCCCATTCTGCTGGGAAATTTAAAGTTTGAGTCTTTATTTTTAACTTTTGCTCTAAATAGTTCTTCTGGTAGCCTCAGTTAGCTTGGCTTAGAAAGTCTTTCTGATTCCAAAACAGTACACGGACTACTCATGTGTATTTAACAAAGCCCACCTCAGGAAGCCTCACATATCTCTTGAAATCCAGTGGAAAAGCAAACATTTTACTGAAATGTTTATCACAAATATATTTGCCATTTTTCCATGTTTTTTTTTCTTTAACATAGAACGTTGTGTAGTTGTTTTACATCATGGCACATTATGTTAGTTCCATTGTACTTCTTCAAAAATTGACATGATTTAAAATAATCCTGTCCACTTAATCCATATTAATCCCATAATGCACTTTAAGAATGTAATGTATAATAAGTAACCTTGAAAATAGGTGTGGCTGTATTTGAATGGATTGTAAAGTGCTGTGCGGATCTGCTTTGGTTAAAAGCATTATATAAGTGTAGACAATTTAGCAGCGAGCGGAACGAGTTGCTCCATTGCCACTTGTGTCTGTCCCTAAGCATGCCGGCACGTTGCTGGCATTCCCCACAGCTGGCCTAGCTACAGAAGCAAAGCATGCTGGGTGGACAAAAGGCGTCCCCCTCCTTATTTTGTAGTACAGCTTCTTTGGCATGGAGAAAGGGGTGAGGACAGCAACAACAGTTTTGCCTCTACGCCACCCCCTGCTGCCGTTTGCTAAAAATAGGTCCTGCATATGCCTGCATGCTCCTCCCTATGTTGCCTCCTATTAAGCAAGTCCTCTTTGAAATGTTGAGATGTGGAGGGACAGAGCAGAATCTATCTGTGCTCTTGTGTTCCATCTTTCATCTTTCTGGCTGCAGACCCAAAACCTGAAATGTAATCCCCTCTATTTGATTTGGAAGCTCCAAAGTAAGGGAGCTGATCTCGAGCAAATGTGGCTGCTAATTGAGTTAGAAGAAAAACATGAGACAGGCTATTTCTGATTACTTTTAATAGTGGTATGATAACTCTGTTCTGCACACTAGTGGTCTGACTGCAGCTTGTCTGAATACCTCAAGGCAGTTTTTCATAACAGCCCCAATTTGCTATTGATTAAATAAATTCATCCTGACAGGCTTATTGTAATGAATCAGACTTTGATTGATTTCTTAATATGTTCCATAACTCTCTCTTTTCTCTCCCCTCTCTGTCAAACTCTACCCTTTCCTTTCTTTACATGGTTGCAGGTGTTTGCCCAGTGCTGGTGGTGAGCCTCGCGTTTGTGTCGATCGGGCTGGCACGTAAACCAGGAGCGCAAGATGAGAGCTTTTGGCGTTTGCTGGCCAGCGTAGATGCAGATATGTCTCGGTGTTCTCCATCCTGATGGACCGAGACACCTTCTCCCACATCCGGCTGTGGTGCCCACGCCCGTTTGGCACCTACTCCCAGAACAAAGCCAGGAGTCCGGGCTCAGGGGGAAGCGGCGGGGGTCACGGTGGCGCAGGGCCCCCCTCGCTTTGCAAGTCGGAGCCGTCTCAAGGAGCAAGAAGGACAACAGATGAAAGCGAAGATGTAGGCATGATTGTCGGGGTGCAGGAGGGCGATGGGGAAGAGGAGGATGTAGGCTCAGAGAACACTCCACCTGAACCTGAGCACGACTCCAGCTCCCTGTCAAGGAGCCAGACCCCTCAACCCCCTTCAGCTCCTCCCTCGCCACCCACTTCAGGCTCCCAGATGGAAGACGGGCGTGTGCTGCTAGACACCTGGTATGTCATAAAGCCGGGCAACACCAAGGAGAAGATCGCCTTCTTCGTTGCGCACCAGTTCAGCGGAGCTGGTCAGCCCAGACCAAGCGCCATGAAGGTACGAAGCTGCCCCAAAGGCTTGGAAGAGATTTTATGTTGAAATATTTCTTTGTCAATTAAGGGTGGGTAACTTTTTTTTCTCCACAGGTTAAAGGTAACTGGGCAACCGACTGCAGTAAGGCCAAAAGACGAAGACGGTGCTCATCTTACGACCCTCCGACACGCTCCCACACCGTCAGTCAGGACACCTCCCTCGCACCTCCCAGCCCCGACGATCCTCAGCTGGGAGGTGTGAGTGAAACTGACCTGCTCTCTGTGGCAGAGATGGTTGCTTTGGTTGAGCAGAGGACTGCCATGGCCCTGCAGGGGATTGTGGCTGCTCACGGCAACCAGCACCATCATCAACCCTCCACTACTACTCACAGCCCAGGCCTTACCTCCAACCAGCATACTTTACTCCGAGGCACAGCGTCAGATCCCTCGCCTTTAGTGTTTGTGTCAAACAGTTCAAATGGTCAGCCCTCCAAAGAGGATGAGAAGCCATCATCTCCAATCCAGACAGACCAGGAACTTGAGGAGCAACAAGAGTCATTCAAGGTAGCGCAGGCCATTGCACACTTTGAGTCTCAGAACCTAGAGAACCGTCTCCATCTTGGTGCTGGTCCGGGAATCCCGTCCTCTAATGGAGACAAAGACGGGGAGTGCAGGAGAGGAGGGGAGTCTGACACTGTATCGTCACCTCCACCAACAAACCACAGTCACGGGGAGGTCAGGATAGCTTTCCGAGTATCAAATCTGGACCCGCGTTCACAGCTGGAACCAGCTGGCCGGTCCCGGTGTATGTTTATGAGCTGTGGCGGTGGGAGCAATCAAGCAGCAGCCAGGGCCAAAGAGAAAATCACCTGTGACCTGTACCAGCTCGTAAGCCCGTCATCCCGAGACCCCAGCAGCCTGCTGATCGCCGCCACAGCCGCCGCTCCCAAACCAGATGGGGACTTCCATCACTCAGACAGGCCCGCCTGCAGCAGCCCAGATCCAGGCAAGGATCTCACGTCTGGGGAGAAAAAGGGCGCGGGCGTGGGGAGGGAGCGGGTGACCGGTTTCCATGTGGAGGTGGTTGTGACCGGTGCTGTGGACCAATGCGTTTTTTATGGCAAAGATAGCACCGAGAACGTGCAGGAGGAGACTGTGTGCTTTGCCGTGCCTAGCGGGGGAGGTGGCGGCGGAGGAGTCGGAAGCTCCACCGACTCCTCATCAGACGACCCCCCTCCAGGACAACTCTTTTTCTTTCAGCAACATCGGGGACCAGAGGCAGACGTAAAAGCAAAAGCCACCGGGTCAGGAATTTGCTCTTTGGACTGTGCCAACAACAACAGTCCCGGGGCCGGGGTGGCGGTAGGTTCTGGGGAGCGGGCGACGCGGCCAGACTCTCCAGGCGTCGGGGAGGACTGCTCGGACCCCTCGCTGTGCCGCCTCTACCGCCACGTGTCCCACGACTTCCTGGAGATCCGCTTCCAGATCCAGCGCCTCCTGGAGCCCCGCCAGTACATGCTACTGCTCCCCGACCACATCATGGTCAACATATTCGGCTACCTGCCCACGCGGTCCTTAGCGGCCCTGAAGTGCACCTGTCACTACTTCAAGGCGCTGATCGAGACCTACGGGGTGCGCGCGGTGGACTCCCGCTGGAACCAGGACCCCCTCTACCGGGACGACCCCTGCAAGCAGTGCAAGCGGCAGTACGAGCGCGGAGACGTGTCCTTGTGCCGCTGGCACCCCAAACCTTACCACCACGACCTGCCTTACGGACGCTCCTACTGGATGTGCTGCCGACGCACGGACAAAGACACTCCCGGCTGCCGCGTCGGGCTCCACGACAACAACTGGGTCCAGCAACCCGCCGACGGCTCACAGCCCGTTCGCGGCAAGAGGGAGGAGAGGAGGGAGGAGGCCAGGTAGAGAGGAGCGAGTACTCCTCTCAAACCTACTCTCATCTCATTCAGCGCACCTCCTTCCTCTCCCGTCTCTGGTTCTCCGGACAGAGAAACGGAGAGACTACAAGGAGGAACCAATGCTCCAGACTTTTCTTCCTCGCGTCGATCCTTCTTTCTCTTACCTGCCTCAGCATAGGGTGATTGAGAGGTAAAGAAGGACTAGAGGTGTGTCACACTCCTTTGCCTTTATTTCTTTTTCCCCCGAGCCCTCCAGAATCCCTCTCTCCCCTGCTGTGCACCACAGTGGCTTCTTCTAAAAGTTTGCGTACCAGGGTTGGGGTCCTCTCCTGCTGCTGTCATTCAGTCCTCTCCTCCGTCTCTTCAATCGCTGTCTAATTATGTACACGGATGTCGCAGTAGGCAATTCATGTGAAAACATTGCAGTGTAATTCATTGAGATTAGCATTCCTAAAACGATGCATAGAAATGTAAAGCCTGCTTACTACTCCACTTTTCCTGTTCTGTGTGGTGTCACGAATCTCCATGTTAGCTGTGCTGTGGTGCTTCGAGGAATGCGAGTCCGGCGGAAGTAAAACTTTTTCAGTGACGGAATGTTCAGAGTTACAATAGAAATGTGATTGTAAAAAGCAAACTTGATTTATTTTTTTGGTTTCCATTGTAAAAGATGCCATTCTTTCCCGCCCTGCGCCGTGCGTTTCTGTTTTTCTGGAATGTTCTGTAATATACCTTGTCGGTCAGTCCCCTGATGATGCTGCTGAAATCATTGCTCGCGTCACTGATGTTAATTCTGCAACAGCCATGCCCTAGGTTGAGGATGGGCATGGTCTCACTGAGAGCCCGCTCCAAGTTTCAGAGCGGACCCTAACCTTGCTGACCAGCCATAAAGAGGAGCCACTGAGTACTTTCTGGTTTACAGAGAATTATGGGAGATGGACTTGAAAGGGATTAAAAAGAGAAACTTGATGTCACTTTGGAAAGGCCTGATGTCACTTTGTATGGTTTGATTGATTTTTTTTTTTCTTGTTTGCCATTATTATATTATCTTTTTCTTTTTGTTTAGCTGTTTTTATTGGGTTGTGTGTCAGAATGTTTGCTGTTGTATTTGCTATTATTCTTATGGACTGTGTTCTCTTTGTATCGGTCTGTCACCCCTCTCAACCCTCAAAAATGTTTGCTGTTGTTTCTGTTTGTTTTTTTAAAATCTTCCATCTGTTTTAACCCCCAGCTCTCTCCCCTTTCCTCCATCCCCATCGTCCTCCGATCAGGCCGAGGGCAGTGTTTGCCAAAGCCGCCGTTCGTGCTTTTCAAGCGAATGAAATGATCCCCCACAGTCAACAGAAACTCTATACACCAGCTTCCAGCCTTAAAAGCCCCCCTACCTCTTACCCACCCTGCAGGAGACAGAGGCATCAGATACCTCGCAGATTAGAAAGAGTATTGGGAGTCTCACAAGTTGGTAGGTTGTCAGATGCTTCACGCACTCAATCCAGCTTCACTGGATCCACCCAAAAGCTTCTAGTGTGGGAGTGCAAGATGAACAGTGCCTGGTGCCTGACTCTTTCTTTTTCTGTCCTCCCCTCCTGTTCCTCTCACTTTTACACTCCCCGACCGTTGCAAGCTGACAGACTGGACACCGAGAGACTAATGTGTTGAATGACGTGAAAACTCTGCATGGAGATGGGGAAGAGGGTCGGGTAGAAATGGGAGACCTCTGTAGGTTGCAGATGTGTAAATGCTAATGGGAAAATATCTGCTTAAATAAAAACAAGTGATGATTAAAACTGGAAATCTGAATCCCGGAGATTGTTCCTGTGTTGTTGTGTACAAGGCCTCCTGCCAGTGACTTCTGAGCAGGATTGAATTATCTCTTTAGGACGGAAGCATTGTGGTTTGTCACTGTTCTAATTCTGCTGGAGTTGCAGGTTTTTTCGTCTGAAGCCACTTTAATCTTTCATTGATTTTTTTTCTCTGAAGGTTTTAGAGATAAAGTGAGAGAACTTTTAAAATAACAAAAGCCACTTAAAGTCTTATTGATTTGAAACTTTGTAACCCTTAACAGCCTAATTTAGCATTTGCACACCTTTTCCGATGGACTTTTGATGAAATCAGCTTGTAACCTTATACAGTAATGGCCTTCTAACGCGATAAACTTTTTTCAGACTGGGCCTCATGTTTTTTTTTTAAAGTGCAGTGACAGGTTGGAACCAGCAGATGGCGACGGTGTCTTGCATTTGAAGATTGACTCCTTTTTTATTGGTAAGCCTAGTCATCCAGCATTACAAACCCACATTCTGACGTCCATGTCACTGTGGAACCAAGCACTCCGTTAAGCAAAGTATCCCCACAGGAAAACCGCCACGGTCATCATGATGATGGCGTTGGCGTCCACGGCGTACTTCCACGCGGAAACCTCGCTGATATCCGGCAGCTGCTGCTCCAGTCCTTCAGGTTCTTCCAGCTCATAGGCCTCCGAGTCGCCGCCCCGGCCACAGAAAGCACTTACGAGGCGGCAGAATCCAGACTTTTCCAGCTCTCTGACCCCTGTAGAGCGGTATCTTCATTATCTTTCTCCGCAAGTTTTTTTTTATTTTTTATTTTTTTTATAGATTTTTGGCTCTAGTGGCCTTTAATGACAGTAGCTTGACAGGAAAGGGGGCAGAGATAGAGAGGGGGAGACTTGCGGGAAAGGGCCATGGGCTGGAAACCAACCCTGGCCGATCGCTTGCGAGCGGAGGCTCCGCATATGGTCCGCCCGCTGTAACCGTTAGGCTACGGCTGCGGCCCTTTCTCCGCAATTTAGATTTATTTTTCTTCCTTACCTGTTCCAGCCCTCTTCTCCCTTGCCCTCTCCTCGGCCTCTCTGCGGGCTACCCTCCCTTTTTCCTCTTGCTCCCAGTCCAGATCTTTCCTCTCCTCCTTGGAGTGCCGAAGACTGAACACCAGACGATGAAGCTGGAAAGGGCGAAAGCAGAACCGTTGCGTCTAGTTGAAAATTCTCGCAGCGTTCCCCCTCGTGGGAACCTTTTTATGAACCAGCTGCCGCTCAACCCGGAGCCCCGACTCTGAGCCGGGTCAGAAAAGCCACTCACGTGTTGGTCCTCTATGGGCTCGGAGCAGTAGCTGACCAGCAGCACCAGCGCCGAAGTACAGAAGAAGAGTATGATGGCGAAATGCAAGTAGTGGATTCCGCACACGAGGAAAGGGCACCGGGAGGGGAAGATGCAGCTGCCGGTACCGAACCAGAACTCGGGCAGCATCCGGCACAGACCCATGGCCAGACCGCCCACTAGACCCCAGAAGGCACCCTGGGGGGGTTGAGATGGAACGATTTGGTTCCCGGAGCCTTGGCCTGAAATCGGAACGTTTGCGGTGGGCGGACTCCTCTCTCACCGTTTCGTTGACCCGCTTCACAAACACAGCCAGCAGAAAGACGGAGGCGATGGGGGGAGACAGATAGCTGGAGATCGACTGGATGTAATCAAACAGCTGGCCGCTTTGGGCCGCCTGGACCACTGGGATCCAGCAGATGCTTACAGCAACAATGCACAGAACCCAGACTCTAAAAATCAGATAAATGGTTATGTGATGTAAGACATGGCAGAACAAACCCCATACCAACCCTTCTAATTTGTTTTAAATCACAAATTTGAAGCAAACGCGCTGATGCGGTATATCTGCTTATTTGAGTAGATTCTTCCTGATTTTCTGTGGATAAATCCCATTTTATTTATTCAATTCAATTCAACTTTATTTATATAGCGCCACATCACAACAACAGTTGTCTCACAGCGCTTTCCAAACAGAGCAGGTCAGACCCTACTCTGAAGTTAATTACAGAAACCCAACAATTCCCACCATGAGCAAGCACTAGGCGACACAGGCAAGGAAAAACTTCCTTTTAACAGGCAGAAACCTCAAACAGAACCATGGCTCAGGGTGGGCGGCCATCTGTCTCAGTTTATCTGACTGATGCTCTAGGGGCATAACTTCATCAATAAGATCGTGTTAGCGAAACCTAGAAGCAACAAAATGGCAGCGGACCCCACGACATGGTCATTACACCAGTCATTTGGATCCAGATATAAACAGTGAAAATGTCTTTATTTTACGAGCCAACGCTCAGGTTATCGTCCATTTACCTGCCTACAATGATGAGCTCCGGCTCAGTGGCCTGTGGTCGGATGCGGGTCCAGATGTCCATGGTGAACAGAGTGCTGCTGCTGTTGAAGATGGAGGCCAGAGAGGACATGAGAGCAGCCAGCATCACAGCCAGCATCAGGCCTCGCAAACCTGGACAGAGGATCGAGAGGTTGTTTCTTTTAAGGGACGTGGACGGCAAGGCAAGGCAAGTTTATTGGTATAGCACATTTCCTGTACAAGACTATTCAAAGTGCTTTATGAAGAATTTAGAAGCAGAAAAACGAAGAAAGAAAATGACTAAACAAAACGAATCATCCATCTTCGTAACCGCTTATTCCCTAATGGGGTGGCGGGGGGAATTGGAGCCTATCCCAGTAGTCAATGGGCAAGCGGTGGGGCACACCCTAGACATCCGCCAGTCCATTGCAGGGCAACACAGAGACACACAAAGATGAACAACCATGCACACTCACAATCATTCCTAAGGGTAATTTGGAATGTCCAATCAACCTAACGTTGAGGTTTTTGGACTTGTGGAGAACCCACGCAGACACAGGGAGAACATGCAAACTCCACACAGAAAGGTCCCCCCGGGGACTCAAACCCAGAACCTTCTTACTGCGAGGCGATGCTGCTAACCAACATGCTGCCCTACAAAATTAATTTGATAGATAAAAAGTGAAGGGTGCAGATAAAATCCATTCAGTTTCCATATGCACAGTTAAACAGAACTGTTTTCAGCCCGGATTTAAACAGTTTCAGAGTTGAGGCCTGTCTCACTTCTTCAGGATGTCTTAGGAGCATTAAACTGAAATGTATGGAAGTAAATATGTGCCATCAGAATTTGAATAAAAAATAACTCCGAAATTTGAATGTTGTATATTAGTGCTTACTTTTTCAGTATTAAAATAAATTCAGAATATATTTTTAACCTAAAAAAAATTCAATGTCATTATTTGTACATTAGAAAAAAAATTCAGTGCAATCTTTTTTTACATGGTTGCAATTTTCAGTTATTAAAGAAATTCACATTCCTATTTCAAAGTGATCACATTTTCAATATACATATTTTTCACAGTTTAAATTTTCAGTGTTAAAAAATTCAGCATATAAAAAATTCAATTTTTCAAAATTCTAATGCATTATTTTCGTTGTCCTCCAATTCAACTTGCTCAAATTCGCTGTCTCAAATTCAGCGTCTAAAAATTCGCTGTAAAAATGGCCAATGTTACTTTGTGTCACAGACATTAGCAATAGATGTCCGATTCCAACATCCACCTAATCACGTGACCCAAACCAGTGTTTTAAATCAGGCTTTAAGATAATGTATCAAACTTCATGCGCAAAATAAAATATACTACAGAAATATGAAAGCATTAAACTCACCGTTGGGTTTGAGTTCGCCTCCATGGGTGATACTGGAACTTCTTCAATATGACGGTTGTGTCACGTGATTAGGTGGATGTTAAAATATGTATATTGAAAATTTGATCACTTTGAAATAGGAATGTGAATTTTTTTAATAACTGAAAATTGCAACCATGTAAAAAAAATTACACTGAATTTTTTTTTTAATGTACAAATAATGACATTGAATTTTTTTTAGGTTAAAAATATATTCTGAATTTATTTTAATACTGAAAAAGTAAGCACTAATAAACAACATTCAAATTTCGGAGTTATTTTTTATTCAAATTCTGATGGCACATATTTACTTCCATAGATGGCACATATTTACTTCCATAGAAATGAAGCCTCTCTTTGTTTAGTTCTGACTTTGGGCACCAGCAGGAGACCAGAACCTGAGGTTCTCAGAGTCCGAGCTGGTTCATTCGGCCCTAACATGTCAGAAATGTGTTTTTGCGCTTGACCATGAAGGAACTCGTACACAAGCAAAGCTGTTTTAAAGTCTATTCTCTGAGTGACAGGAGGCCGGTGCAGAGACCTGGGCACTGGACTGATTTGGTCATATTTCCTGGTTCTGGTCAGACTCCAGCAGCAGCATTCTGGATGTTCTGCAGCTGTCTTACAGCTGGTTCAGAGCCCTGTGAGCAGGCCATTACAGTAATCTAACCTGCTAGAGACAAACGCATGGATTAGTCTTTCTAGGTCTGGTTTAGACACTATTCCTCTCATTCTGGCAATGTTTTTGAGATGGTAAAAGGCTGCTGATGTTAATGGTTTAATGTGGCTGTTAAAGCTCACATCCAAGTCCAGTATTACCCCAAGATTTTTTACCTGATGTTTAGATTCCAGAGGTAAAGATCAAAGTATCCATTTGTCCTTACCGTTTGGCATGACCGTCACCACCAGTTTGGGATACGCAATGTTGGAGCAGCCCACCTCAGTCCCACAAATCTCTTTGCAGTGCTCCGGAACCACACAGCCAACCTCATCTGCAGGTGGGTGAAACACAAAGACAAGCCCAAACTTCTGTGGCTTTAAGTTGCACGCATGCGTAACCTAAAACCTAAATTTGTAAACGGGGGATGACAGGGTTTGACGCACAAAACTACAAACCTGGGTAGAGGATCCTGCTGATCATGCCGGGGAACACCATGAGGAACATGGGTAGCAGTTTCAGGTAACCACACAGGATGCATCCGGCTTTCACGTGTGTGATGTTACGAGCTGCAAGGCACCTCTGAACGATCACCTGGGGGATTGCACGTACATGGATCAGGGCAATATTAGACGTAGTTTTAGACTTCCTTTATTGTCGTTGTACAAAGCCACATAGTGAATGTGACAACCAAATGTCGTTGCTTGGCTACCAGTAGGTAAGCGAGGTCTGTATGTAGGTTAGGCTATAAATACCTTGGATAGTTAAAAAACTATATAAATATAAACTGTACGGTAAACATAAAAAGACTTTAGTACGATACGTAATATGGAGTTGGGATCTGAAAAATAAACTCCTCATTACTTGGAGTTATTAGCATTCTCTTTAGAAGAAGTTTGGATAAAAAATGCATTTATTTCACCCCTAAAAGCTGCAAGGTTTCATTCATATCACCTTACAAACATTGATTTGATCATTTTAGGCACTAGTTTTGACTCAACCTGAGAGGGAATTTGGTGCTATCAAGCCTTAAACCACGAAGTACAAATCCTCTGCTGGACACCGCTGACCTTTAATACCATAGTTGGTACCACACGAAAACCACCTATTCACCGGGAACTAATATGATCACGTGGGGGAAGGATTTTAGAAGGGAATATTTATCGAGCATTAAAATATTAAGTTCCATGAACAAATGCGTTAAGACGTTAAGTCAAAACAAGCTACCCCCGACAATACATTTTTTAAAAAGTCCAATGCTAACTTTGTCCCGCGCTGGCATCTGAAATGAAGGGTTTGAAGGGGCACAGGCTCTGGGTCAGACTGCTGGCAGGCAAAAGTTGCATTGTTGCACACTAAGTTTATTTTGCAGGAAGAATAGGAACTACGTTTACGATGAAATGCTCCACCCCTACTGTAACTCAATTTGGATATGTTTAGGTAAAGGTGAGAGGGAGTTGTTTTACTGACCCCTATATTGTTTGACTTGTTTTAAGGCCCTAAAGCGCAGAAAAATGTTAATGTAAAGAAATTTGATAGTGGGACGTAAAGAGCCATGATAAGTTCATGCAGTCGGTAGTTAAATCAAAATCAATACTTCATATTGAAAAGTTAAGATTATTCAAACAGTGTGCAGTGATGCACTGTAACTAAGGGGCTATTCATAGCCAAAATATCCAACTAAGTCAGTGGATTAAAAAAGTCCATTTAAATAAAAAAGAAAAAAAATTGAAGTGTACTTTTTTCTCTCTTTCTGAATGGGAATACTTCAACATAATGTGCTCCCAGATGGAGTTTTTTTATTCATGCTGTCCATTTTTAAAAGTTTGATATGATTCTGTTTTTTTCAACAGAAAGAAAAAGAAAAATATCTCTTTATCTCTCTGTTTGTATTAGCCTGGGTTCCTGATTTAGATATTCACCTGGTCTGAGCACCAGTACCAAATGCCGCTGATTGAAATCCCAAACAACACCCCAGGCCAGGGCAGGTCCGCTGTGGTTGGGTCCCTCAGCAGGCTGAACGCATCCTGCCTGGGGATGTAGCACTGGGGGGAGATGTTGTAGCGATCGGGGTCCATGGAGGAGAAATTGCTTGGCATCGCGGAGCTGTATTTGGTAAGAAGGCCGGTGTAGCCTCCAACTTCAGCAAAGGCTGGTGGTGAGGAAGGAAAATTGAATAATTCAGAATAAAATCCAAAGAACAAAACATATTTACCTCTGCTTTATATACTTTTTCCTGTCTTATGGCACAAGTCCTGAACTACAGTAATGTATGATAGAACTTTTTGTAGCAGTCTAACATCCCCCTGACTGAAGAGGTGTATGGTGCGCCAAATGTAAAAGGAAGTGATCATAGTTTTCCCACTCACATTTTTTCCACATTTAGGTCTTTTTCGTCACATTTGGTGAATATCAGTTAATTTTCTTCACATTTAGTTCATTTTACACACATTCATTATGTGAACGACAATCAAATGTTCTACATGTGATTGTAAATATTGTATATAGATGTAAATATTAAACCTAAATCTAAATGTTAGGTCTAATATAACCGGTTGAAACCAGCACCCCTTGACGTGCTGCACTAACACCTGCAAAAACTGCCCACTCAACATTGCCCACTGGTGAGGAAACAACCATAACTTCCCGTACCATTCAACCAAATCCCACCCTGAGTCTGCTTGGTGGAATGGGCGTGGTTATACGTTTGGGAATACATTAAGGGGCTGGTAAGGGGTACGTTTTCTAAATGTGGCACCTAACACTCAGTGACCCATTTGGATTTTGATTTAACATATAACATAATTACATATAATCTTTAGATTTAGATTATACAGTTACATTTACATTGAACATTTACACAGAGATTTAATATTTACATTAAGATATCAAGGTTACAATTAGATGTAAAACGTTTGATTCACTAAATGTGAAAAAAATAACCTAAACATGGGAAAAGACGTAAGTGCAAAAACTGTGATCACTTCCTTTAACATTTGGCGCCCCGTAGATGTGCTCGCTCGATGTATCAGCACATCACAAACAGCTCAGGAGGCAGATTTCTCTTCCACTTTGATCTTGTCTACTCTCCGTAGGGCGTAGATGTTATGTCAGCTAGAGGTGGAAAAGTTTTACTCTTCTGTAGTGTCAGCAAGCTGTTAACTTCTACAGTCAAATTAATCATTACAGAGCCTGGTTAAAGTCTTCCCTGCTGTGAGGATGCCATTAAAAAAAAAGTCCTAATAGATTGATGCAATGCTGTAAAGTTTGTACTGACAGAATCCGGTGAGGGCGAAGGCTCCCGCAATGATGACGAACGTCTGAACTGTGTCTGTGTACATCAGGGCTGCCAGGCCACCTGGTCACACACATAAATACGATTAAAGAGTCGCTGATGGGTTATCATAGATTTTTGTGGGACTGTTTGGGGTACTGTCAGAAGTATCAGTGAAATACGGCTCTTCGGTATGTCAGCCAGATTCTTTAGTTGGAAGCCTGACACTAAACCAGAGTAGATCAAGAGTAAAAATACGACATTTATTGGTCACAAGCAAAGTAAATCAGCTCTAGGCTCTCACTGACAAAGTTCCTGGAGGATCTAGAGCCTTGATCCCGGGTGTGATGGACATTTATCTTCTGGGCTGGGCTCGCCCCGTACAGTATGCCGGCTGGACGCAACTGAGTGTAATTGGCCAGTTAGTTCTGTCATGAACAGGCCAGGTCCCAATTCATGCAGATTTCAGCCGAATGTGATAAGAAAGTGTGTGTGTGGATGTTGAACTTGAAGACATGTATCTTCTGTAACGGAGAGAAAATGAAAGGAGGATGTGTGGGCACAGCCAGATAGTTTAACTCAAAAGTATAATTCTAAAAGGAATAACATAATTCTAAAAAGGAATAAGACAACCAGTCATTTACATGGATTAAGTTATAACATACTATGATAAAGTGAGTACCTATAGCCCAATTCTAACAGGTATCTGCTTTTTCTTTAAAGTTTCTTCACTATTATTTTTCTTTAAATTCCCATTATTAGAGAAAAAACTATTTGGGATTGTTTCGAGTAAATTTCCAAAACTCGAGGCTTTAAATGTTTGGCACGTAAACCAAAGGTACGCGTTGTAATGTGTACATATGTCTTTTATTTACTGTCTGTGCATGTCACCCTGTTCAGACGGGTTCAGTATAAGAATACTCAAAGCTCACACATCCAAGCCCATACCTGTAACTGTGTACAAAGCTGTAATTAAAAGAAGGGCGATGACGGACACATACATGTTCCACCCCAACGCCTGCTGAATAAACACGGCTCCTGAAAACATATCCACCTGGGGAGGGGCGCAGAAGAATTAAAACTTGGTGAAACACACAGTGAGCACTATTACTGATACTCTTGTGTGTGCTGACAGGGGGACTTACTGAGATCTTAGTGAAAATGTACAGGAACAGAGAGATCACAGACAGGTAGAGACTGATTCTAGTCCCGCCAAACCTCTTCTTCAGGTACTGTGGCATGGTTATCACCTAGAAAGAGCACATTATGCCATCATGTCAGAGAAGTACGCACCTCCAGATGTTTCCAGTCAAGCTGAATGATCCCACAGGATGAACTTCTTACCTCGGCTGTGAGGTAGACAGGTACAAACAGCCAACCAAGGAGCAGCACGATGAACAGAGCCTGCCATGTTTAGACCACACATTAATATAGGCCACATTTAAATCTTCCCCTTGTCTGTCAATGACCACATTGTGTCCCATAACTTCAGTGTGTCATCAGCCCTGGCGCAGAGTGGAATCAAACGGACACAGCGTGACTTACATTCCACTCGAACCCTCCTACGGCAATGCCACTGGCCGCTCCAGTTCCCGCCAAGCCCACGAAGTGACCACTGCCAATGTTACTAGCAAACAGAGAAGCACCAACCTTTGAAAAGGACCCAAAAAAAAACATGTCAGATGGTCGCAATGGAAAAAAAAAAGAAGATATTTTTCCATCATCTTCAAACAAAAAAGTAACTTTTGTCACATGTTGACAATTCATCATTAATATTTAAGACAAAAAATGCTGTTTGCATTCGGATTCTTCATGAATTCACAGGCAACGTGTCCATATTGAGCATGTTGGGAAGGACAGCAGAAAAACTGGGCATATTTGAACATCAGAACCGATCACAGCAAGCAGTTTCATTATTTCCTCTAGAAAAATTACAATAAAATGTAATAACACATTCAAGTCTGTGTAACTCCATCCTTGATTTTTTTTAAAGCTCGACATGCAACACTTCTGATACACTGAAAAAATATATTTTTCTGTCTATCAGATTCTTGTTTTTCAGAATAATCTAATACATTTAAGATGATGTTACTGCACAAGGTTTTCTTTTTTTAAAATTAAATCTTTTTTTAAACTTACTGGCCACCAGGTCATTGTGCGTCCTGCCAGGAAATACCCCCCCACCGTCCCCCGATTGGCTCGAAACATAGACTGGAGCACAGGTTAAAAAAAAAAAGTTCGATTCAAATGCTGCGTTTCTCTTTTCTTGAATGAAACTGGTATTCGAGCACAATCTCTTGAGAATCGAACGCTCAGTCAGGAGCGCTTACCCAAATCCCAACACCTATAACCACCAGGAAATATCCAACGATGACAGTTATATCTGCCGGATTGCTGACGACCACCTTGTCCGATGAGGGGCCCTCCATAGTTTTACCTGCCCTGCGTTTATCTGCAGGTCTGAGTAAAGCTTGCTGTCCGGCTGTGGCTATAAGCATATGATAAAGAAGCTGGGGATCAGAGTTGGAATGGTCAGTTCAAGCAAGACCTTTGGTCAGGTGTGACAATGGGCAGATTCAGCAAGTTATTTATTAGAGTAATTATTAACACCCAACTGCAAAAAAAACATAACAAAACTTTGTTGTCGTGTAGCTCTTCTGGATTTTCATTACATATCGTCATTCTGTGCCATTTTTTAGGCCAAGCGGATTTGTTTTTTTTAACCCTAAATTAGAAAATGTTACTTGGAAAGGTGAAGGGTTTGTGATATGAAGAAAAAGGACAATTACACATCATGCCGAGCAAAAAAAGGAATTGGTTCTCAAACTAATCATTAATGAGCACAGCCGAGAAGTTATCGCTCTTTAGAAAAAATATTGCAAACAAGATGCATAAAAGCAGGCGTTCCCATAATCATTTACCAGCGCTCCTATCCCCAGAGTGTTCATATGAATTTGGTTTTCAAAGTTTAAACAGAAGCAGGCAGCTTGTTCGAGTATGTTTATGTGACAAAATGAGTCCAATCGACTACACTTTACATTATGAAACACAAAAAAACATATTTGTAAACTTCATTATAGGTATAGGGAAACCACCGAAATGAAGAATCGGGATACTTTGCACTTCCATGCTTAAAGTGTCATATATTGAATTTAAAAAAAAACTTTGCTCATCATTAAATGAATCACCTTCAATCCCTTTTGTTTGGTCACACCTGCTAGTATGAATTTGTTATCATATGTTCAAACAAAAACATTAAGAAAGCTGCAAGGTTTTGAAATTTCTGTAACTGCTATTTAATTCACGCAAGGACGTGGAAAACAAATGTTTCAAAGGAGATGCACGACTGAATATTAGCTCATAAAAAGCTAGGAAGCGTCTCAGAATTCTAGAAAGTCATTTCCAGCATATATAAAAAAGATACAAGGATATTTTACCGCTAATCAGATTGACTGGCAACAGATAGAATACCTAATTGGGTGTGAGAGAAGCACCTCAGAGGCCTCAGAGAGGCCGAATCTGTCAAAACACTCATCTTTTTCAGTCTACGTTGCTCTATCGTATTATTCATGCATGCCGAACAGATTATGTTCGGCCCCATATCACCAGCAGAATCATCTGGGTGACGAGCAGCCGTAGTGAGATGCTGGCTTGATGTGTAAAACACAGACAAGACAGGATAGCATAGCCTCTATTTGCGATCTCATTGACAGTATAGGAGCAGAAAAGTAATACAGTGACCTCTGTCCCCATCCCACCTCTCCACGTTTTACCCATGATGCTATGTGATGTGGCACATCCACCCAGGCATGAAAATGTAAAAGATTCTACGGTGCCTAAAAAAATATGAAGCAGCTTGAGGTAAAGTTCATCAATGTAGGATTGCAGAGACCTAAAATATTCTCTTTATTTTAATTAACATTCCATGGGCGCACAACCACTTCTAGAGTCAATATTTGTGAGCAGATTTGTCAGCAAAGTTTTGGGAATGATGCAGAACACGTGATTGCACTTCCTTTCTAAAACTCATCTAACAGAGTCCATCAATATTTTTCGCTTCTGCTTTGACGAGAGATCAATAAGGTCTTAAAGTCATGGCTCAAACTATTTGTTCACCTTTTTTTTCTGGTGTAAAGTGTTTTAACACGTTTTTCAGTGTTTTGTCACCGCTCTTTAAATACTTATTGATTCTTACCCATTGCCTTGTTTTCATCAGACTTATTAACTCGAGTAAATATCTCACCTAAGCATGATTAGTTGTTGACTCTAATCTGTCCAGGATCTTTAATCAAGCGCTTATCTCATCTCTGGACTGATCCATTCTCCACAGCCTGCTCTGTGAGCTCCCCTTTTTGTTCGAAGACTTCATACCGGGAAGTAGGAGAGGGACTCATGTTGTAAATCAGATCACCAATTAAATATCTTATTCTTTCACTTAATAATGTCTAGTTTGTGTCTTCTTAATCTTAAAATGGTCAAATCTATTCTCATTTCTACAATTTTCACCTTATTAGAAAAACAACTAGACTTTGTCCATGAAAACTCTGAAAAAAATATTACTATCCGTTTCCCCCATCTGAGATAAGCTGCAACAGAGAGGGACTGAAGTCCATGCAGCTTATATGAAGCATTCTGCAGTAAAACCCAAATCAAATGTCATGGAAGCGTGAAAAAGAGGTGCTTGAGTGAGATACGGATAGAAAACCATTTAGTCCGCTATGGCTCCAGATAACTTCTTTTTTTTTACTGCAAACAAGTGCACTGGCTTTGATGAAGGATCCATGGAAAATTAAAAACTGATGTTATTCTTTGTGTTACCTTTATGGAATGCAGCAACTCATTATCATGAACTAATGGTACAGTGAACTGAAATAGCAAATGCTAGTTAATGTAGCCCCCAACTATACTGGCATGGGGAATCACAGCCCACATTAGACAAAAAAAAAAGTGGAAGAACTATATATAATGTATATGACTGGTATATACAGTTACATACAAAAAAAGAGAACATAACATTGTTTGAGATGGGCCATCAATCGTTCGATATGTTAATGACAAATTCACAGCTGATTTCTAAACAGCTTTGTTACTGATTCAAACAGTAGGAAGAGTAGCAAAATTTTAAAAAATTAAAAGAAAAATCTACTTACCTTAAGTTTTTGTTATGCACATAAAGAGCTTGTCTTTACATTTGTCTCTTAATTCTGGTAGGGATTCTTTTTCCATGCTAGTCTCACACCTCACAAATCTCTGTCCCCGACCCAATCCTGCCATACATTTATGTATTCAGTGATATGACTTTCTGTTAAATAAAGGTGAGTTAAAGAGACCATACAAAAACATAGCCCTGAATCTCTGAACCAGAAAGAGCTCTGAAAAGGGGGGAATAAATAGTAAAAGCTCATAAGGTATGCTAATGTTCATGCATTCACTCCTTGCCAAAAAAAAATCAGTTTGTGATATCTCCATAAAACAGGTCATTTTGAGCTGCTAGCTTAACCCATCTTCCCAAAGTTTGTTTTTTCCCCCTCTTCAGAGGTGCACATAAGAGGAAAGGCCAACCAGGACTTTGCCAACATGGAGTAGAACCCTGACCCATGTTCTTTGGGTCTATCTAGCTCAATACCCGAAAGCAGCTTCTAAGTTTGCTTTGCTTTCCTTAGACCCGAGACGGCTCACCGAGTTCAGAATGAGCAGTTTCCACAGATGTCCAGGCTCCGGTTGGAAGGAATGGCTTGCCTCATTTGTGTGCCTGTTCCTAGGTTATCCCTAATCCTGATCCTCACAACTAGTGAGCTCCTTGTTAACTCCCCTTTAACAAAGAAAACAAAAACTTCCTCTAAAACTTGGTCAAACATCTTGTAACACACAGGCTTCTCATGAAAACCTTCAATGCAGACCCACCCAACACATAATCCCGGTTGTTTGGTACTAATTTATCTAAATAGTTGGCAAATTACACAAACTGTTTGACCTCACCTTTCTTATAAGTTTTAGTGATGCTGGAGAGAAACAAAAACGTTAAAAATTGTTTTTCAAGATGTTTTAAAAAGGAGTTGGACAAACAAAAAATAAAATAATGTCATTATCAAATTACAAAGATGTATTTTCTCTGAAAGGATTTTATTCATCTGACAAAATGGTGAAATAGGTGACATTCAGGTACATGTTGCCCAACTTTTAACCAGTTTCTGGCTCAGCTTTATTCTGGATTTCATAGGATCCAGTATATTATAGGCCTGCTTGGTGGCTGCACACAGTTCATATAAAATTATAGAGATTCGACCTTTTATTCATTTCAAACACACACATGGTAAGAGGTCAAGGATGAGACACATCGGTCAAACGCTCCTCTGGAGCTAGTCGGTGGGCTTTTTGCAATTTTCTTTAGCAAGTCTCAGTCTGGACAGGATGTGTTTTTTGGGGAATTTAAGAGTGGTACACCCAAACTGGCTCACTCCCCCAGTGTCTCCTGGGAGTTTTTCCCTCCTCTGGACCCAGCTGCGCCAGCCGGGTTTCCAGCAGTACACGCTGTCGTAGAACCGTGAGCCGTTTTCTCCACCGAGCACATAAATCCTCCGTTTCCATCTGGCTACACCCCCTGCCGCAATCCTTCGTGGCAATCCGGGAAAAAGAACAGGACTTGGGGCTCTGTCACTCCCGCCACCTGCAACCCCCCGCTGCTCTGCACTGACCATCACCCCTCCCCCCGTCACCTCCCTCTCAATCCCCGACCCCCTGCCCTCTCGGAAAAACAGCACGCGGCCAGTAGCGTCTAAAGTCTCCAGGTTTGTGTAGTTTCCGTCTAGGAACTTGGTCGTGTCCCTCATGTATCCCCCGATGGCGCAGACTCCCCCCCGCACCGCCACGCCTCCGGCGAGGCAGGTCGCGCCGGAGTCTAGCGCCACTCGCGTCCAGCAGTCGGTCAGGGTGTGATAAATGAGCACGCCCGAGTGGACGACAGCCCGGTTCTGCTCCAGGGTGGTTCCGCCCAGCAAGTAGAGCCGTCCTCGTAGTGCTGCGCAGGCGAAGGCACGCAGCGGGAAGGGTAGGCGAGGACCGGGGCCCCACTGAAGCGTGGTCAGCTCCAGGGACTCGCTGGAGTCCAGCAGAGCGGAGCGGTTACAGCCCCCCAAGGCATAGAGAGACTCTCCGCAACCCAGCAGGCCTAGCATAGCACGCGGCTGGCCCATAGCCGGCCGCTCTATCCACCTGTCCAGCACGGCGTCATACTCGTGCACGGCTGAGGAAACCGAGCCCGTCCGTAGGATCCCGCCTGCTACAAACAGCCTATCGCCCACAGCCGTGCAGCCGGGACTGACAAGCGAACCGAGCGCCGCCAGTTTTTCCCACTTTCCGGTTCGGGGATCAAAGCAGTCCACTGTGTAATCCCGCGTAGCTACATTCTCATCCTCCCGAGGTGTGAGGTCCACGCAGACGATCTTCTTCTCAAACATTCCTTCTCGTGGTCGCAGAGGGCCTCCGAGGCTTTCCCTGGCGGCAGCAGGCCCCAGCTCCTGGCTCAGCCTCCGGCTCTCCTCCGAGGACAGGAGCCCCGGGCGCAGGTGGTGAAGCAGCGCAGGCATGTGGGCGTAGCGGTCCAGAGGCTGATGCTCTGCCCAGCGGCGCGCCGCGTCGTACACTTCCGCCTCAGAGTCCACCCCCAAGCGGTCGGAGCTGAGGAGGCTGCCTAGGGTGCCGTGGTCGAGCAGGAGGAAGTCTTTCTGCCGAGCCACTCGGGGAAAGTGCTGAGCAACCAGGCGCATGGAGGCACGCAGCAGAAGCTGGTCGTGATGCGACCGGGCCAGAGAGTACATCCCGAGACAGTTATCCACTGAGAGGTGCTCAAATAGAAACCTGTAGGGATTAGAAGAGAGGAAAATAAACAGGGAGTCATGCAGTCGGAGAGACAGAAAAAAGAGGGAGGTTTATTAACCTACAAACAGAATCTGATTAGGTAAGTAAATGTTAATATCAAAGTTAAAAAAAGAGCCTGGGAATATTACCTGGAGCACAGGTCTTGAAGGGGCATGACCTGAAGACGGTTGGCAGCCACAAACAGGTCCTCAGCAGTGTCCAGTGAGAGCCCCGCTTCACCGGTGTAAACAAACTGGATGACAGTCTCCATTACAGACGGCGTCACGTCCTCCAGGCGGATCTCGGTGAGGCGGGATTCCACCAAAGGGCTGGTGAACATCGCCCGAAAGTATGGGCTCACGGCCGCCAAAAGGACTCTGAAGGGCGAGGGAGAAACACAGAGGGACTACAGACGAATGCTGAGCTCCAGATCTAAGTTCTAACAGGCATCCACGCAACACGGCCTAATTTCTTAGTTGTAGAAGTGAACGTGTCATGTTGTCACTTCAACCATCCATAAATCCTACCAACCTACCGACTTACCAAGTGCTACAAGAACAGCAGAATCCCTGTCTGTCTTCAAGAAACTCTTGAAGACCCACCTCTTCAAAGAGCATCTCCTATCCTAACCCTAACCCATACCTCTATCCCCCACAACTCCTTCTGTGGTCCCCTCTACCTCTATCTCTTGCTGTCACCACTGATTCTGATCAGTGTTTCTCCTCTATATAGCTTATCGTCATAGTTATGATAAATGTAATATTGTGTCTACTTTGTAAGTCGCTTTGGATAAAAGTGTCTGCCAAATGCATAAACATAAACATAAATGAGTAGGAAGCTTATCTTTTCCCGTCCCAATGTTTGGCGTAAAATAACTATACACAGACTATATGGACAGTAGGCCATTCCTACCTGTGACACATGAATTTCTTCCCCTCCACAAGCAGAGTGACATCACACAGCTGCTGGGCGTCCAGGAGTTGCTTCAGTCCTAAAATAATAACACAAAAACAAAACGCAGGAGACAAAAGGCTGGACGAGTGAAAGAAAAGAGATGAACTGGACAAAGCAGATCGGACGGGGATAAAGAAACCCCCCGCCTCAGCATTTTTTCTCAGTCTCACCATGCGTGATGTAGTCCCCCAGAGGAGTGGTGCTGTCGTCGGGGAAGTCCTCTTCCTCGGAGTCGCTGTCCGATAGCGGCTCCCCTCCTCCCCCGTCTCCGTCCTGCCACGGCTGGGGACGCCAGGTGACCGTGCCCCCCCGCACGGCATTCATCTGATCGGTATCACACGCGCGCACGCACGCGCAATAAGTGAAGTCAGAAAACACAGTTTGACACTGTAATCTTTCTACAGACGGTTATAAATAGAGGCTCGTGACAAATACGACCCAGATAAAAACCAGCAGTCCAGTTCCTCTGTGAGAAATACTGGTTTTAAGCATAAAATATATGATGGAATAGACTTGTTTTAGTTTAATTAGCGTGGTTGCATACCAATTTGTTCAACCCATGTATTTCCTCAAGTGATAATTATGTCCCGGGAAGCTTTGTGTGGTGAAGAGGACTCTTGTCGAAGCGTCGGTCTAACGCTTCAGGACTAAATATTTAGCTCTCATTACCTTGGCTCTCCTTCTCGTTTCCACCGTGAAAGCTGACTGAGTCTCCCTCTCAATAAGAATTATTGAGGCAGAGCTCTCTGCGTCCAGGTAGCCCGTTTGCTAACAGAGACTTCCGAGCATTTGGTTGTCGCGGTCCTCCCGGACTCAGCTCAAAAACTCGTCCCGGCCTGTGGCGAAGCCGCGTCAGGCTACTCAACGTTCATCCAGCCCGCTTGCAGAGCATCACCCCTAACCGAGGGACCAAAATAGCGTACAAAGAAAGACTTCTCCTCCCTGGGTAAACACAGCCTCTTCGTAACACATGTAGCTCCACCATAGCATTGTGTCCAGACGTCCGGCTTGGCGGTGGAATGTTGAAAAGTGTATGTTTTATCGCTTAAGATACCGACAGAGTTGGGCTCCTCTCGGCCGCACTTGTCATGTCTGAACCGGATTACCGCAACGTTAAACTTCCTCTCATCTGATTGGCTGACCTTTGGCTCGTGACGATTGTTTGGGGTTGAACCGTTTTGTGTCATGCAGCGAAAAAAAGGAGGAAAAAAAACTGTTACGACTTCCACGCTGTGTGCCATTCGTTGTACAAAATGCCAACATCTTCAAATTCGATTTAATTTGATAAGCGCTTTAGTTTTGATTGAATACTTCTTTTAAGTAATTTCCGTACTCACGTTGCATTTAGTGCAGGCACGGATGATATATACTAAATTAAATGGACCATAGTTTGTACAATTAGGGGGAACTAATATTTGGCATACAAATATGACTATTTATGATCTTATGTTAAGTTTAATTTTAGATGGAGATGTAGAAATAGCGGCATGTATGGAATAAATCAACAGTAGAACGGACAAACTGTGTCACATGTGCACAGCTGTCATTATTCCTTGCGTCCCATGAATGCAACACTAGTCACTCGGGCAAACATGGCGACCTGCATGAGCATGATTACAAGAGTAGGAGGTATTGCGTTGACAGTGCTTCACCCGATTGCCAGGAGGTGTTCGAAGCGTAGGATAGACGCGTTCGTCACGCACCGCTTTTTGCATGGAGTCCACAGTAGTTTGTACGAGCATGTGCGCGAAGGCTATAGCGACAAGCCCGATCTGGATATGAGAGCAGTGTGTCAGGAGCCCGGCAAAGTCATAGCTAATGTGGAGAGCAGGAAGGGGGATCTGCGAGGGGATGATGTTAGGAAAATTGTAAGTATTATAGCAGCCTGCTGCTTAAATATCTGAAGCACACAACATTATATTTCTACTCATTAGACTACCCTGCTGATTATACTGTGTGTGTGTGTCTGTGTGTGTCTGTGTGTGCGCGCGCACGCATGTATTTTAGGTATGTGTGTGGCAGGAACTCCAAGCGGTTAGAACAGAAATCACAGAGCTGGAGGACGCCAAAACATCCATCAGTGATACAGTCAAAGCGCTTGTTGTAAGTAATGAATATCATAGTACAGCTTATACGAGTTTACAACAGTCAGCAACATTTCCAAATAAACATTTTTTCCCCCAGTTTTTCGTTATTTTCCTGTTTGTACAGTTGATCTTTTTACTTGTCAGATTTTGTGAGGGTATGAAGTTGTCTCTCTAAACATTGGTTTCCTACACAGAGCAAGACGGACAAGAAGGCCCTTGCTAATGTAAGTTCTTTCTCAAAATGAGAAAAAAAACATATATATGTATAATTTTTCAAACGACCAAGCACAATTACGTTGAGGTTGCTATGTCTGGAAAAATGCTGAAATCGTCCCTCCTTTAGCTCCCAGAATACACACAGGCCCTGCAGAGGGGTCGGGAGATCCGCAACAGACTCAATCAGCTGTACCTGAAAGAAACTGAACTGGATCAGGAACACTACAGCCGAGCACTCAGACTGCCCAACACCACACACCCTGATGTGGTGAGGACACCCTGCAATTAAGCCCTGAGTATTTGAATGTGCTTTTAAATTTATAAAGGCTGATTTAGAAGAAAACTTTCTTTTTTTTCTTTTAAAAAAAAAAAAATATTTAAGCCCATTGGAGATGAGAGCCAGGCAAGGGTTGTGGAGCTTGTTGGACAGAAACCAGGTGAATGGATAAACTTACCATGCTTTTATCTCAGGTGATTTTTTATATATCTTTGCAGAAAAGTCTGATTCATTATTATTTTTTTAGAGTTTGACTACAAGCCCAAAGGCCACGTAGAGCTGGGGGAGGAGTTGGGTCTGATCAGGCAGAGGTGGGCGACTCCATTTATGTTATTTACTTGTTTCTTTCCCCCGAGTCACACATAAGTTGCCACTGTTGAAAGGAGAGGGATATTCACACCCCGACTCTCTTCCATTCCCAGGCATCTATCTCATGTCTCAGGTCACAGGTCTTACTATCTGAGAGGAGCGGGGGCCAGACTACAAACCGCACTCCAGAACTTTGCCCTGGACACACTGCAGCGACTGGTACGCCGGCCTTTGGAGATGCTGGATCATCTCTACCAAATGTAAATGCATTATCATCTCTCATCATGTGGCAAAGTCAGAGCTGAGTCTTCCTTTCTGCTCCTGCAGGGTTTCATTCCCATGGTTGTGCCCGACATGCTGAAGGGGGCTGTGTTTGTGAGTAACCAATCTGTTCATCAGCAGATTAGCTTATTCAAAGTCCGATTTAAATTAAAATTGAACATCATGAAACAGATCTGTTTAGTATTTGTACAGTATTTTTGGAATTATCACTAAGTTATGGCTGGAGGATTTTGGAATTACTTTTAAAAATTGAATGTTTTTCTGCTTGATCTTAACGTGAGTTTGTGTGTCACTAATTGGTCTGCTTAAATTTTTGTGGGCCACATTCACACTGCAGGCCTTAATACTCAATTCCATTTCTTTTTGTGAAATCTGTTTTTTTCTGTGTAGCCTTTCCAATTTCCAAATAACTGGGACTAGTATGTCACATCCTATGTGTGTGAATGGCAAACAAACCTAAAAGTGGCTATGCGCACGTTCAAACATTTCTTGGGAAATTCTAACACAAACTGCCTGGTTCCAATAAGACTACTTGGGTTTGGCCTAAACATGCAATCCCACAAAATCCTAATTGAGTCAGAAACCTCCCTTTCTGTCCGCTGACTGTTCTTCACGTTATCGTTCGCCATGGTTCTTGTTTTTCTTTGCAGAGCAGGGCGCATAAAAGTGGCATTGGTCAAATATCAGTGACATGCAGGTGGGATCAGTTCAACCTGGCTGTACAGACTCGGGTTACATTTGAAAAGATCGGATATGTATCAGATTTAGGACCACACGTCCAAGTGGCTTGGGCCGCATTTGAAAAAATCTGATCTGTGTTGTTCACACGGTCACAAAATGATCAGATACAGGTCCTGTTTGGGTAAAAAAAGTTGGATCTGGGTAATTTCAGGCTGGAGTGTGAACATAGCCATGATATAATGCTACCACCACCATGCTTATCAGCTCAGTGTTCCATAGCTTTTTACACTTCAAAATGTGCCTCATGTCATCATGAGGCAGAAAACACAATCTGGCAGTAAAACCTTGCAAAGTATACTACCAGGTTATGTCAGCAGGTGGCACAATTGTACCACTCATTTTTAAGGAAAGATTAACTTCAATCGTTATTTTACTTGGGGAAAATGGGAAAGTTCAAGTTTTTCAATAAAACCGTTTGTGAAAACACGCTATTAAAAAGTCCTTTTACGATCAGTGTTTCCCACAAAATGAATGACAGGATTTTATATGATATATCTCCCCTTTTTCTCAGTCTCAGTAATGAATCTCTTCTTATTCATTTTGTAAGTGACAGCTCTGCTGCACAGGGAAAGTAAAGCATCTTAAAAATCATCTGAAAATTGTTTTTTCTTTTGGAAAAGCAGACTTTGAAAACAGGTGTCAGAGGTTTAGAACCCTTTGGCGTGCTCGGATACAGCTACTCTGGTGTTAAATCGTTAAAAAAAACACTCAATTGATCATTTCGATGCATGGCTTCATGTTTGGTCCTGCCCTGAGCCATTGTCATGTTTATGTGGATGCAGTAAAGTGCAACCATACAATCTGATCTACTCACTCACCAACCGTTTGCTTCTTCTTTTAGGAAGGCTGTGGGATGCAGCCGAATGCCCATCGTTCTCAGGTCTATTCCCTGGACCCAGCTCGTTTCCCAGACCTTAACCTGGCTGGCACCGGAGAGGTCGGGGTGGCAGGTCAGACTCTGATCTCCTCTAAACTGTCAGAATGCTTATCCATTTCCCAGAAATGTGATTTTTTAAAAATATTTTTTTCAAGTGTCTGCTTCTTAGGCATTTTAAAATTTGAAGCTGCCCCTCATCACTTAGAGGGCTGAGATAACACACTTTAAAGGTTCAACTTCTTGCCTGTCATGGAAAATCTTAGGATTACCAAACTGGCAGCTAGATAAGACAAACTTTTGTCAAAGTGAACGAATGAAGAATCGAGATGCAAGTCAAGATATTGAGAGGAACTAAGGGAAAAGAGATAAAGAGTATGACTAAGCTAGTGGGTTTTGTTGCTGGAGAAAGCTTTAAAAAAACAAAAACAAAAAAAAACTATTAGCGTTAATGTCGCTTTTTGTAAGTTAAAACTGAGCAGCTTTTTTGTTTTGTCATGTTTATTTTGCTTGACTCTTTATCTCGCTTGACTATGTGTATGCCTTAAATCAGAGGTGATTGAATCAGTGGTTAATTCATACGGTGGCTTAAGTAAACTGGTTAATTTACTCGAGGTATTCATGTCATGCTATCCATTGGGGGCTGAAGTGAGTTCCAACAGAATCTCTGCCTTTGGTCTCTACTAAAGACATTTACATTATGTTCTTTGCTATGTTACACTACTGATTACTGATACTCTGTTGCTGCATCGTCTTTGTGTGTCTGGTCTTCAGGCTATTTCATGGATCACGCCGTAAACTGGAAGGACCTGCCTGTAAGGTTAGTGCTTTGAAAGCTGCCTCTCTGCTGTAGATATAGCAGATATAGCGATTGATCCAATCCGTCACCACAGGACAGCATGCAGCAGCACCTGTTACCGAGCAGAGACGGACACAGGCAGGGAAACATGGGGGCTCTACAGAGTTCATCACTTCTCTAAGGTAAAACTAATGCTAACATGGCAGCTTTTACTCGGATGCGAGTCTTCTGTTTTATGTAAACTGAATATTTAGCCATGAGTAACTGTGTGGTGGATTGTCTGCTGATCCAGGTTGAGATGTTTGGAGTGACAGCTGATGAGACTGGAAATGAGAGCTCTGAGCTGCTGGAGGAGTTTGTCTCTTTGCAAAAGGAGATGTTTTCTGCTCTGGAGCTGCACTACAGGTCAGGACAAGAGTCAAACGTTTTAAGTAATCACAACCATATTTAGGATGTAGAGGAAATCATACCAGCAAAGTATAAACTGTTTTTCAATGCCAATAGTATTGTTGATTTACTCCTCCCTGTCTAATGTTTGAGCATAGATGGGGTTAGTACTTTGAACAAGTGCAATGTGTCTTTCTTTTATTTGGCTGACTAAACCCTAATATTGACAATTAGGCTAGCATTTATAATGACCCTATATGTTCATGTATGTTTTTACTTCTAGAGAACAGATTAAGAGGGAAGTTCTTTAACAATTTGGTAAGATGTGAACCACTTAGAGGCTGTAAAATCCAAGAATTAAACCAGAGATTACTCCTCTGGAGTAATCTGTCCCTGCTGAGACAATCTGTCCTTATTTTTTTTGTAAAATATTTTCCATGAGAGAAGACATAATCACCTTTCTAACAGTGTTTTCATATTGTTGGATCTCATTCTAATTGATGAAGATTTATAGTTTGATATTTTAATCATTTTGCTTCTTTTAAAGAGTTATTTTAACTTCTATTACTTCAAATTGAATTTCCAGCGATAATTTAATAGTGTTTTCATAGCATTGTTTTATGCGACCTGCTTGACTTATTTTGTGCGCTTTCCATCCTTCAGAGTGCTGGACATGCCCACTCAGGAGCTAGGTCCTCCAGCACACAGAAAGTACGACATTGAAGCTTGGATGCCGGGGAGGAACAGCTATGGAGAGGTCAGGCATGTTCATCGAACCTAATAATCCAGATGGGCCATCAGCCTTTACACTTCCTCTGAGAAGAAGTACAACTTATTCCCTAATGGGGTCGCGGAGCCTATCCCAGTAGTCAATGGGCAAGCGGCACACCCTAGAGACGTCTGCCAGTCCATTGCAGGGACACACAGAGACACACAAGGATGAACAACCACGCACACTTACAATCACTCCCAAGGGCAATTTGGAATGTCCAATCAACCTAACATGCAGGTTTTTTTGGACTGTGGGAGAACCCACGCAGACACAGGGCGACTATGAAAACTCCACAAAGAAAGGTCCTGTTCCCCCCTGGGGACTCAAACCCAGAACCCTCTTGCTGTGAGGCGATGGTGCTAACCACCGCACCACCGTGCTGCAGAAGTACAATGTCATATGAATACTGTTGATCTTTTTCTGCTTATCAGATTTCCAGTGGATCTAACTGCACAGACTACCAGAGCAGACGCCTCAACATTGTGTATGAGAGGGAGGACGGCAGCCTGCAGTACGCCCACACGGTAAGACTGCGGACGGAGAAACTCTGGTTGACATTCCCTCTGCTCTAAACTACGAGATTTTACCACTTCATAATGCATGTTGTTTCTTCTACACAGGTAAACGCTACAGCCTGCGCAATCCCCCGAACCATAATTGCTATCCTGGAGACTCACCAGACCAAAGTAAGACTCTCAGCAGGCCTCGCTCAGATTTGGGCTTCCTGATAATTGGAAGAAATTTATGACATGAGAAATTTCCATGTTGGGAAAGACAGTGGTAAACGGAAAAAAAAAACAATCATTTGGAACTTATTTATGTGCTCTGTTCTTTAATAAATATGTTCTAATAAGAAAAGATAAGATAGATTATATTTATCTCACAGTGGAGAAATTCACAAAACTTTATTATTGTTTGTTTTTTTTACCTCTGTGTCCTCAAAACAGTACCCTGTATGGGAAAGCTGTCATGTGACGATTTGTTGGGCATTTTAGAGGAAGTTTACTTAATAAATGTCCCTTTTTGATGTCAAAGATTTATATATTTTTTAGATTTTTAATTATTATAAATGTAAACAATTTTAAAAATAGTTTCCTGATCAAAAAATCCATTTGAAAAAATATATATTTAGATCTTCACGTATCAAATAAAGCACAAATTTCCCAGATCCTAACATTTTTACCATCAAATACTATACTATAAATACCTATTTCTATATTTTAATCCAAAACAACTTCACATACTCCTGCACTGTCAAAAATAGCACAGGTTTATTTTTCAAAGTGCTTCATACATCATGTACAAGACGTAAATTATGACCTTCCGTAAAACATTTCCCAACAATATTCAATTTCAACTTCAAGTTATGTCCAGGCTGTACATGAATCACAGGGGAATATACCAAATGAGGTTTGCTCAATAGTATCATAAACTGTATATGTATATTTGCTTACTAAATGTAAGCAAATATAATTTAGATAGGATGACATCTAAATGTGAGCCAACATACATTTTTTAAATCAAAGGGACAATACCAAGTATTGTTACTGGCACACAAATTTAGCTAGAAGAAAATGTGACCAACTGTTAACTGTACAGGATATTTCTTTCTAGCCATGAGCCAAAAACACTCACTATGATGTCTTGCTAATAAATGATCCCCCGAGACATAATTTTGCAGCATATTTCTTCAATGTGAGGAGATTGTTTTGTTTCAGTTGCCACAACTAAAGACTAAATCCCGTCCGCTGATTGGCTTAATTGCGTTGACTGGAGTCACATGACTGATGGGCTTTTGAGGCATGCATTCCGCAAATGAGGAATTGCATGCACCTCTCCTTGACCATGTATGCGCCATCTGTCTGTTGTCTTGTCCAAACAGTATGAATACCTGAAAAAGCAACATTTCTGATACCTTTGTCAATAAAATATGTTGCTCGCCTATAGTGTCATAAGGTGTTTTCCCAACTTATTTGCTCTATATTGCTAATAGATGGACCCCAAGGCACATATTTGTATTTTTAGAGGTACATTTTGTAGCATTTTGTTACTGAGTAGTAAATGGACAAACTGCGGGTACCGTGGAGGCTACTACCCCAGGGGCAATTATTTGGCCCCCTAAATGTAGCGCTCCCCTCAGTTAATAATAAAGATGAGGGCAGGGCTTTTGGGTTCTTCTAAATAAAACTATCAATAATAATTAACCCTGATAAAGTCTGTTTTATAGTTTGTTTTGAATTTCCCTTTTTTCTCTTATACACAAGCTGTATATCTAATTTAGCGGTAAACTCACCTCTCACTCATGTAATCCAGGCAGAGTTCAAACACAGAATTAATTTACTTCCTCCTTTAAGGTAATAAAATACACCAAACCAGGTTATATGAATTTAGAACTTAACTATTTATATTAATTGCAGACGGATTATAGCAAAAATCATCATGTGAAAATCAAAGGAAAACAACAGCATCCTTTTCATTTACACAAACAAACATTCAATCATCAGCAATATAATCACTGTGCCAAATTTATAAACAAACGTCAAAATATACCTGTGTGGGCCCACACACCTTAAACTAAGGCCGGCAAACCTTTTTTGCTTTTCAAAATAAAAGAGGTACCCCTTTAAATTTCGGTGCAGGCCTGGGTGCAGCTGTCATCCGGCGGCTTCACAACAACAGTGACAGGTGATCCAAGGAGAGATGACTGGGAAAAGAAGATCTGTCGGGAGTCAACTGAAATCCTGTCACTGCCGGAGTCGCGGTGCTCGCTCCCCGTCCGCAGCTCCGTTCGTCAGTTATTTTGCTGCGCTGTTAGCTTACTGCTAACGTAGCAAAATCCCGTTAAAGCATCGACGACTTTGTTAGCCCCTTAGCTCAACGGTGTACTCCCTCTGTCGGTTGAGTAGTTCACTCAAACCGCCCAAAACATCAACCTTACGTTCTCTGGAGAGTCCGTTTAGTCCTCCTCCACAACTTGGTTCCCAAAATCCTCAGTCACCATTCATTAATCTTCGTCCTTTTTTCCTTCTCTCTTTTTTCTCACTTCGTCTCCGTTGTTCGTCCTTTCGTTTCTCCCGCCCCTCACACAAGCCCCGCCCAGGCCCCTCTCCATTCGCCCAATCAACGCTGACGTATACATGACGTTTGCGGAAACATTTCTTAAAGAAACCAAACAATAGATACATTTAAACTGTTCACAACAAATTAACACTTTTAAAGACATTTTAACATTTTATAAACATTTATACTAATGCTCAATGTTTTGACCGGGTTACATAAAGATAAAGTTAGTTGCCATCTAGTTGGAGAGTGTAAATCATAGTAGCAGGGGGGGGGGAAAGAAAATGAGGATTGTGATTTTTTTAAAATGTTTAACTTTTTTATTTTACGCACAAACATTCCTGCAGTTCGGAATGACCGATCAGAATATTTGCACCACTGAGTGTCTCGATCTAATTAATCCAACTGATTTACAGACACTTTAAACCCATCTTGCTCCCTGTCTTCCCCTCTCTCCAGGAGGGAACAGTGCGTGTCCCTAAGGCCCTGCAGCCATACTTGGGTTTGGAAGTGATTGAGAAGCCAAGGTACACTCCACTGAAATACATCGGACCAAACCAACACAACCGGCCTCCCAGGCCTGTTCCTAAAACCAGATGAGACACAAGCAAGTGAACTCCTCTGACACCAGCCAATTGTGGAAAGGTTTCAGCTCTGTTGAGTCAGAAAGAAGAGCGATACAAACAAGATGGAGCTTTTGGAGCTGTTGAAACCCTGTTTGCCTAAAATTGGACCGATCATACTTGAATAGTGTAAGAATTTAGTACACCTGTTTTTGAGGAATGTACCATTTACAGTGTGCCACCTCTGTAAATGCTTGTATCCATTATTTGACAAAGCAATCGAAGCATGGAGATGAGACTTATTCCCTCCTGTCCTGTAAAGACTAACGATAATGATGAAAATTAAATACATAAGTGTTTGATTTCTGTTCCCACATTTTTGTCTTCCCTTGAGGCTATTATAATTCAGGAAATGCAACGAAGCAAAATAAAACGAGTAAAAATGTTTACGAAAGTAGTAAGCAAAGATTTTATGATTTTTGAGATAATAGAAGTTGTATAAGATAATAGAGGGGGGGGCATGATTTAGGGGAGCCACGCTTAAAAAAGATTTGGGGAAAGTTTACCACTGAATTTTTGTCTACATCTTTAGGACCGCATACGCTATTAATTTATCTATTTTTTAAACAACGTTAACGTTTGAAAACCGAGAGAAGACGTATGCTTGGACCGGTCAAATAAGGGCAGATTTAGCGAATGTAACTTTGCTCTCAGACTGTGGGGGGGGGACAGTTTAACGCCCGGGCGTTTAGTTAACATGATGGAACCACGGGCGTAACACCTGCCGGCCTGGCAGCGGTCCGGGCTCTGGTCACCTGACCCCCACACACACACACACACACACACACACACACGGGCGTGCGCGCATATAACGACTCGACTCGGCTGCTCTTCACTCGGTGGATGAGCGAGAAAGATCAGGCCCACCATTTCAAGGTTATCTCCTGCAGGAGCCTGACTTTTCGGATCCTATGGGAGTTCTGATAACCGCGGTTCTTCTTTGGGCTGCCGTCGGAGGTAAGTGTCGATGTTGTTGTGTTGATGATACAATTATACCGTGTGTTTCGTATTCTCGGTGTTAATGAACGGCGGAAATTCAGGGAAAGGCTTTAGCCTCTGCCGGCTGTGGGGAAATATGTTGTTTTACTAACTCAGCCTATTTGCTACAAACAAACGTTTGGCGGAGCAACGGACCCAAATGTGTATGCTAACCTAATGCCGCGTGTCTCAGGGGTTTACGTCTTAATACGCTTTAGTAGCGGTGTTACATAATTTGATATATGCGCCCACCTTTCTTGCATCTCTTATCATCGTCTGCTGTCTGACTGGTGCTGTAATTTTATGTTTAGCTCATGGTATGCGGCGTAAGCTAGTCCCATGAAAAAATATATATTTTAAGCTCCTCACAGGTGAGCGGAGCAGCGCTCTTGAGCGCGTGCAGCGGCGACACGCGCCAACCGCCTTTGAAGGAAGCCGCTGTAATTAAACACGCGCTGGCGGCTTTCAGGCGGGGAGAATTAGAGGAAATCTGCTTCCCACAGAGACAAACGCGTGTCAGATGGGTTAATGCTGGGTCGGAGAGGTGTTCTGCGGCAGACTGTATAAACAGCGTTTGTGTTTTTGTCGCAGTCTGGGAAGGAAACCACTCCGCTTGTGCGGCAATGGTAAAATTCAACTAAAAGTGTGAAGATTTTTCAAACGGGTGGCGGCCCTTTTTCCAAACACCACTGCTGTTTGGCGCCCAATCAAATATAGAGAGAAGGTGTAGTGTCAACTGTGCCCTGAGCAACTGCGCATCATTCGCCCACTATACTTTTCTCTCATATAGGCTACTCAATCTCACATGTATTTGCTGGAACAGGCCATGCTGTACAGTCAATACATCACATGTCTGCATGGTGGTTGGTCACTAGCCAAAGAGATCAATTAGTCTTATTGAACCTGATCTGTTTTTAATCAGGCTGACAAGAGCCATTTAGTTTTGGTATTCTGCATAGATGCTTGAATGCTTGTGTGTTGTTAGATCTTGTGTTAATAGTTGACCGTCGTTCTCCACATGTGGCTGTTTGTGGTAGCCTAATCACTCAGATAACTTATTACATGACGAAAAGGTCCAGACATGTGTGATCGATGCGTGTGAATCGTTGCTGGTTTGGATGGCTGAACCGCTGCCAGATGGAAATTGACTGTGGTCCGCACTGACACGGAGGTCCTCATTAGGTTTAATACATTTCTGTGAGAAAGGGCGCCTGGCGAAGCAGCTTAGATTGCTTTTAACATACAGGCAAGGGATTGGTGACTTATTTAGCACTGATGAGGAAATTCACCTGCAGGCTAAAGCTGCTGGTAATGTCTGCATCACAGAACGAGATGAACCTGAGGTTAAGCTTCTTTACTAAAGTATGTGTTCTCAAGTTAATGAGGGAAGAGCTCCACCTATGGCCCTGCAGGACTGATGGTTCAATGGTTCCTCTGAGGTGCTCATGAAGGTGTACAGGTACTTTTTTTATATTTCAGAAACACAAAATATTATCTCTTTCTCTCTCTCTCTCTCTCTCCCTCTTTCTCTCCACCTTCCCACCCTTTTTTATGTCTCAGTGGGAAGCCGGCCAGTATCCTCACCCCTTAATGATGCAAAGGTCAGAAACAAATCCATTTTATTTCAGCTATCTTACAGCTATTTTTCTATGATCATTGATAGTATCTATGTTATTTCATTGTTCCGACAGGTTGAATGTATTATTCAGGAGACACTGAATGAAGATGGGACACACCATGAGTGTGGACCACAGCTAGCAGGTAACATCCTAATATCAGTAATGCCCTGTTTTACCACTAAATTTCTACATTTTACATCCTCTTCAAGCTTTACAGGAAGGGTTTCACAGAATATTTTTGTCAATCTATTTCCAAACATTTTCTCTTTGATAAATTATCTAAAAAATAGTGATATCTCTTTTTAGACATCCCTCTTCTGATTTAAAGACAATTCACAGCACTACAGTCTCAAAGTTTTTGTGCCTCTAGACTAAAGAGGCTTGGTAACTGCTTTGAGGGTCAATGCTGTGACTTTTTGTTCCTCATTTTGCAGAGGAGCTCGATAAAGTGCAAAGACACCAGGGTCTTCTCAGAGAGCTGCAGAGACTGGCTGAAGAGGGTGAGCTTCAATTCATACCGAGCGGCTGGTGTAACAGTTATTTACTTATTCGTAATCAGGTTCTATTTGCTGTACATCTTATTGTTGCAATCCAACATTTCCAGAGAAAGAAAAGGATCAGGAGGATGAAAGGAAGCGGTACGAATACAATTTGTCCGACGACGAGGGTGACTTTGTGGAGGGGGATGACAAGGAAGAAGAGGGGGATCTGAGCCCTGATGAAAAGAAGACGGAGGAAATTGAAGAAAACCCAACAGGTGATGATGACGCCAAGAGAAAGATGACAGAGGAGCCGCGGATTGAAAGCAGAGGAACAGATAATGAAGAAGAGAGAGCTAAGGAGCTTGAGGAGCTGCTTGCCGAAGAAATCACCAAGAATGGCAAGGAGGAGAGGAACGATGAGGAGCTTAAACAACTTCTTAAAGAGCTGAAAAAGAAGCGCTATGAGGCTGTGAAAGAGCGGGAGATCCAAAAAGGCTCTGAAACAGAGCAGGAACGGGAAGCGGAGGACGAGAAGGAAAAGCTGAACAAAGACAAAGAGAAGGAAACTGTGGAGGACTTGGAGAAGTTGAGGATCGAAGAGAGGAGGAACAATGAAGTGGAGCTGATGGTGGAGAAAGAAAAGGTGGAGAAGGAGCTGAAGGAGTTGCTCAAAGAGCAGGACAGCCGGAGCAAACCTGAGCAGGAGAGGGAGAGGAAGGAGAAGCAGGAGGAGCTGGAGGAACTCGTCCGAAAGATGAAGCGCGTGCAGGAGGAAGAGCAGCCTGGCGAGCAGGTGCAGGAGAAGGAAGGCAGCGAGTCGGATGGAAAGATGGGAGGCGAGCAGAGCAGGGAGAAAGCGGACGAGGCGCAGAATGAGCCTGATGAGAAAGCCAAAAATGAAGTCCAGGAGAAGGACGGAGTGGCTGAGGTGAAGGAGCCACAGCAGAAGAGAATGATGGAGAAAGCCAGCGATGAGGCCACACGGCAGTTTGAGCGGGAGAGGTACAAAGAGGAAGAGGATGATAAAGACGGGGAGGATGAGGAGGACGAGGATGAATACATTAGAGAAGACGAAGAAGGGGAGGAGGATGAAGATAATGAGGATGAGGAGGATACTGTGGAGGATGAAGGGGAGGTGAGTAAGCACGAATAACCCTTAGTTTTAGTTGTAAACACTTGTTCTTGCAACACATTTCAGATGCTGAGGTTGAAATGGATGTTTCATCTGAAAACTTTATGCAGACACCTATCGAACTCTCTACATGTTCAATGTTTTTTTGGAGAAATTTAAAATAATCTTAACATTATAAACTACATCTCAATTCTGATGCATTTCTTGTGTCATAATATTTAAATAATTTCATCATCACAAATCTCACCTTTTTTCATAATTCAAAGTCTACTGTTATCACACCTGTAAAGCTTAATCTTTCATTACCTTTGCATCATTTCACATTACATTCCAATCAACGCTGGTACCGATGCTACCTTCACTTCCCACATATTTTTGGCTCAGTCGTTCTCGATCACATTTAGAGGTATCACCCTCATTAACTTTAGAGCCTCCAGGCCTTTTTCCACCTATCTGCTGCTCAGGTCTTCCACGAGTGCCTCGTTACACTTATTAGAAACCAGCCTCGTTTTTGTAGAATTTCTTGATATTAGCCACTTCTCCAATTTCTCTGGCTTATCCTGCCATGGGGATTCACCCTTCTCTCCAATTGCACCATCCCTGTGTTTGGGCTCAGGGAGACACTCAGAAGTTCATTGCTGTTGGCCAATGATGAGCCGGCCAGAGGTGTATTCCTGAATCTTTGTAATTCCATCCAGGATTGTCGCTCCGATCACTATTCCCAAGTCCTACCGCTTATTTAAAAACTTCAGGGTTCTGCACTTCCACACATTTTGTGTCTAAATGTTTGACAGTATGATATACATAAAACATTAGTGTTGACTACTGTTTTAACTGCGTGATGTACATATGAATTACAGTCATAATGGAAAAATTGCAGCAGTAGAGCCAAGAAAAATTCAAATACCACTTATCGAAATTAAAAGATTTTTAAAGATGGATCAAAAATGGTTTGAAAGATGTCCATCCAGATTGAAATGCATGGTTGTGTCCCTCACCATCCTTAGCTGTATTTTATTGTCACTACGATCCCACAGATTGTGGGGTTTGCTCCAAAGTTAGAGGCATCTAAGTCAACTTGACATGACAGCTGATAATATGTGAGGGGAGCTTGTATGTGAGGGGAGGACGAGAAGAGAAGCTCAGCAGCTTTCAGAGATGTGATAGTAATGATGGCCTGCTTTAAACATATAAATACGGAACAGAAATGTAAACATTTTAATGGTTTACACGGACAAAGGAAAATCTGTGGGATTCAGGAAACAGAGTCAGATGAATATTTAAAAACTTCTTACAACCTTGAAAATATACTCTTATACTTGTTAATTATTAAAATTGTTGGGTTTATTTTACTTTCCTGTACTTCTAATAAGGAAAGTCAAAAGTGGTGTTTGTTGCTCCTGAGGGGTTAGTGTACTTTTATCAGAAAAAATGTCAAGGAGATTTTAAGGAGCTGGAATGCATCTCTGGGTCTTCTTTTAAATTATTATTAGACTTTTAGATTTCCTGTTTTTACATATTGGATCAATCTGAAATAATAAACATACAGCAGTCATTTAGTTGTCTTCTTTCCATCCACAGGAGCTTCTGGAGATTGAAGCAGAGCTTCGCAAAGTGGCCGCAGAGCTTAGGGAGCTCCGCCGAGGATAATCCACTCCTTTTTGTCACACTCTAAACCGCACATCTCCCATTCAACAGCCACCACAGTCTTTTAAGCACTCAGAGGAATGTCTTCAAAAGGCATTTAAGTAAATCGTAAACAGAGAATAGCCGAAAGTGTACATACTCTAGTATCATGTCGACTTTTAAACTGTCCAGGGAGAGAAAGAAAAGAAAAACAGAGGGAAAGCTTTCACTGTTTCCTCAGCTCAGTGCGTCCCTGCACAATTAAAAAGAGCAATATTCTGGAGAGTCTGAAGGCTCGTGTCCATCACTAGTGTTTTTGAGTAAATGTATATGCTGTTTGTAAAAGGTAGACAGGGTATATCCAGTTTTAATAGCTGTCACCATCGTTCCGATTTTTATTATGACCGGAGGTGGGCAGCCATCACGAATCGCGAATGCTTATAATCGACTCCAAAAAGCGTTGTAAAATGTTTTGACTGTTAACCATACGCAATGCTGAGATTTAAACACGGGGAAGTCATTGTTTCCTTTCTCTTTTCTTTGAGGATCAAGTAGAAACGGGGATTGCGTTTCATTTGGCTCACGCACTGTTAAAACTTGACTGTTTGTAACGAACCGAAGTGACGAGCACAGCCGAAAAGGGAAAAAAAAGAAGAAAAAAAACACAAACGAGGACTGATATCCAGGTCGTCTTTTGCGTCACAGGTGTAGCGGCGACAGAATGTGCTGTACTTTAGAGCTTAAAAGCTCTAAAAGCGTCACTTCGGGTTCGAGCTTTGCACTCTTAATGTCAACAAGCCAAGGAGGAGACGAGGGAAGGAGGTAGGGACATACTAAAGCCATTTGTTGTCTTTTTAGTAAGAGCAACATTGACAGTGTGCACTGGTGTTTCATCACTCATTTCAAGGCTGTCACTTTGTAAGTGTAAGTATTAGGCGTGTGGACTTGGAAGCCAAGGTTCGAAGTGATATAAAGCAACGGCGCCCCCATGAGGACGGTTGGTAGAAATACAACCAGAGCAGGGTTACCAGTGGAGGCCCAATTGATTGCAATAACATGTAGTAGTTTGTATTACAGCACATTTGAATGCAATAAATACCCAAATGAGTTATTTCATGTGCTTAAGTATTCCTAGAGCAAATATATTCCCTCACTTTTCTACCACACCCAGATTTACAGCACATTTATGCATTTGGTCAAGTAGCTAGTGCAAACATGAATAACACAATACGAGTTAACATCAAAAGAGCACTCTGTCACAAGGAGGAAAAGTTTGCCCACTTGGGAATAAAATAACAATGAATGTACTGTTGTTTTTCTTCATTAGTATGGTTTTTATCTGTTTTTTTTACATAGGGGAATAAAATGTAACAATTTACTAACCAGCAAGAATGCCACAGAAAGTGTCTGCGTGTTCCCGGACGTCATGAACGACTCAAACAACAGGAAAAAAAACGGGAAAAAATTTTTATTTGCAATATTTATTACCAATTGGAGTGCTGTATTTTGTGCCTGCTGTATTCTCTTCTATGCTACCTGTCAATCAATAAACAGAGTGTACAAAACCAATTTGTTCAGCCTTTTGTTTCTTGGCAGTCCCACAAAAAGAGTGGAAAAAGCTTTCCCTACTCCAGCAATTATTCGATATGGTTGAGGACAGGAGAAAACCCCCCATTTAAATCTATCAGTAGAGATCTTAGTAGAATACTGGTATTTCTTTACCTTTCTGTACAATCTTGAAATGCTTGAAATGTTGACTGTGCGTGCATGTCTGTTGAGAGCCACCTTCAGCATTGGATACAGTTTTTTGCCAACTTCAACTCAAATTTTCAAGTCGAGGATTGGCAACAAATACAGGTTTTTAGAGCAAATTTCCTCAGTAACATCCTTCTCTAAAGGTATTAGGGTTTGAAAGTTATGTACACACACACACATAAATATACTTGTTTGGAAACTTTCAAACTAGTAGCGTGCCTTTAAAAGAACGAAACCAAATGCAGTGAAATTGCGCCAATTTATTCTCAGACACATACAAACGTCCTGACGTTGGATAACGTTAAGTTAGATTTTTTCTTTTGAAAAAGAGAGTGTTTTCCTCCAGATCCCAATATTCATTTGTTAGTACACAGGTGAAACGGAGATGGCCACTGACTTCCTCGTTGCTCCCGTCCAATAACAGGGACAGATGGAACAACAACAGAAAGAGAAAGTAAAAAAACATCTCTCAGGGAAGTCGCTCCATTGTCGTGCTTGTCGTCCAGCAGCAGTACAGGCATGCCTTTTCCGACGTGCTAACGCTTCAAAACCTCCCTGTAGTCGATTATCCTGTTACATAAAAGGACATTTTTGGCGCTTGCTGAGTTCATCTGAGGTCACGAGGAGGAAAATGTCCCGCGGGTCCAACGCAGGCTTCGACCGACACATCACCATATTTTCACCAGAGGGCCGCCTGTATCAAGTTGGTAAGGGAGTTTTCACAGACGTTTTAGCTTCGTGTAGTAATGGAGCGTGTGTGCCGTTTGACACCATACTGTGATAACACCATTTACCCATGTCCATTGAAAAAAAACAAAAACAAAACAATAACCTTCCAACAAAAACAGAAAGAAGTGGTTAGCTTGTCTGGTTGCAGTTAGCAACAAAGTTAAAAGTTTCTTCTGCTTTTAGGGAATACTACATTTAAATTTGAAAAGGGGCCCAGAATTTCACCTTACATCCATTAAAATAAAAAAATTTGCTTCATTTTTTTTTGGGGGGGGGGAATATAGTCATTGAACTTTCTTTTTAGCTAACCTGTTTGCTAGATTTGGCACCACGACGGTTAGCATGTTGCACTGCCAGTGAAAATTCAAAATCTTTAGTAAGGCGACCCGCTGTGTGGGGGAACAATCTAGAGCATTTCCATTTTTTTAAAAAGTATTCAAATTTGTTAAAGATACAGCGTGTATTCTGGCTACTCTCTGCAAAGATTGGCCAAAATATGCCAATTTAGTGCCAAGAGTGACAACCATTAGAAGGCCAGGGCTTCGGACTTTCAGGGGCATCAGATGGTTACCATGGGAACGGCTTTTGCTTTGAAGTGGTAAACAGATAATAATGAATTTGCTGCTAAATTTATCCGTAATCGTCTACTCTTCTACTCTTTGGCCTGCTTTCATGCAGAGTATGCCTTCAAAGCCATCTCTCATGGTGGGTTGACTTCCGTCGGGATCAGAGGGACGGACAGCGTCGTGGTGGTCACGCAAAAGAAAGTGCCGGTAGGGTGTCACACACACCACACACACAACCACCTCACAGGGATGTTGATGATGATGATGATGATGATGATGATGATGATGATGAAAAAGAAATTGAGCTGAAGCCTAACAGTGAAGCCACACAAGTCAAGTCAGCAAAAAGCCGCAACAAGATATCGACACTAGAATAGAATCCTCTCATAGACTAGCTTTTGCTCAACATTGTCAAGCTAAAAGCCCTTTTGTAAGCTTTTTTATGCAGAGAAGGTGGATGTATGTTTCTATAATGAGATGTTTAGGCAGATTCCCTGATTTATGCCATATTATACAGTAACGTTTAGTCATTCTGTGACTTCCGCTTTTTGTATGCAGCAAAAATGTTGCAGACTGCATCAAAAATAAGATGCTTTGACTAAATTTATGTACACATAACCACGCTATACTATCTGATATATGTATACGTTTTTTAAAGAATTGAATCAGTACTGATGTGTTGAGTTCAAATTTGACTTTTTTGTCTGTAGGACAAGCTGCTGGACTCATCAACTGTGACCAACATGTTCAAACTATCTCCTCGCATTGGATGCGTGATGACCGGGCACAATGGTGTGTTTATAGATGTAATAACTGGTAACACACATGAAGTCAATGCAGTTCACGTGCCCTTGATATCTGGCAGCTTGCAATAGATTTCTCTGTTGTCCATGAGGAATGTAACTTTATTTGATACAAAATGCACTAAGTTTGTGTGTTTGGTTGTCACACGCTCTGGTTTGTGTAGCGGACAGCCGTTCGCAGGTTCACCGGGCCCGGGTAGAAGCTGGAGAATGGAAGTACAAGTTTGGCTATGACATCAACGCAGACGTGTTGTGTCGCAGGCTGGCCGACATCTCCCAGGTCTACACGCAAAACGCGGAGATGAGACCTCTTGGCTGCTGTGAGCAAAGCACTTTTATTTTCCCTCCAAGCTTATTTGAGATTTTATTGCTCCCTTCAATATTTGCCTTGTAAATGGAGCACAGACACGAGTACATGTCCTGGGTTGTGCGTTGAGCTGGCTTTCTCTCGCTGTCGTGTCTTAGGTATGCTGCTTGTGGCCATTGACTCCCAGCTTGGTCCTGTTCTGTACAAATGTGACCCAGCTGGCTACTACTGCGGCTTCAGAGCCACAGCGGTTGGCGTGAAACAGACAGAGGCCAACAGCTACCTAGAGAAGAAACTGAAGAAGAAGCCAGAACTGACCCACGACAAGACAGTGCAGGTGAAGCCAGATGTGATGCAGAGGGCTGTGGGAACAATTTAGCTCTTAACTGGCTCAATTACAGCCACCCTTCTTTTTTTCTGTGTATTAGCATTTTAAGCTTCATTAGCTTAGTGATAAGTTGGTTATGGCCTTTTAGATTCTGCTTAGAAACATCCAGCAGCTCATCCATCAGTGGTTGTATTGAAATAAAGGTATATGATCCATATGTGGCTTGATAAAAAAAAAAATCAAATTATGGCTCTTTTCATTTAAAGGTTAGTAAAGTTCAGTGCTCTTTATAAATGTTCAATAAAAGCTTAAAAAAGTCCCAACAATTTCAGCAATCTGCTCCAAATTCCTGATCTGAGCTGTCTGACGTGTGGAGGTTCCACAATCAAACACTAATCCAGTTCAGATTGCGTCCTCGTGGACTTTGACAAATGTTTACCAGAAGCTTTTCCAGCACCTTAATCTCAGCCTCTTGTTTGGTTCCAGCTGGCCATTTCCTGTCTGTCTTCTGTTCTGTCGATGGACTTCAAGTCCAGCGAGTTGGAGGTCGGAGTAGTCACCAAAGAAACGCCTAAGTTCAGGTAGCTTTACTCAGACTGTGTGAATTATTTGGGAGTTTAAGGGGGGTGATATGGACTGTGCGAAACACTTTTGCAGTAAAAAACTCATATGTATACCAAATAAATGACTTTTTCTGGTCATTTACTTAGTAATTGCTATAACTAGTGATTATGTTCCAATGTAATTGTTGAGTATTGTTAATAATATAAGTGGCAAAGCCATGTAATATAGCGTACGTAGTGACGTCGTATTTGAATGTGCGTACCTGCGTGTACGGCAATGTTATTTGTGAGCATGCGCAATAAACGGTCAGGTGAGTTCCCGGACCAAAGAGACGATGGCCGTCCATAATTATTTCTCTCGTGAATATTAGCATACAGGAGGTGCTAGTTGACCATTTTGGTGACTGCTAAAACGAAAGACTGCTGCAGAAATGTCTAACGTTACAGTAATACTCTCCTACAGATAGCTTTGTATAGTCTCACATTCTTAACCTAAGATTGATTAATTATTTAGATATATCATGATGCTAATTATTTTTCTCTCCGTCCTGCAGGACGCTGTCAGAAGCCGAAATTGAAGTGCATTTGGTCGCCATAGCAGAGCGGGAATAGGCCAACGGCGCCCTACGATCAATCACAGCTGTGTGTTCTGGAACGTGAATCATGCACACATCCATGAATCATGAAATGCCATAAGAACGGATGTAAGGGGGTCTGGATTGACAGGGATTGAAGAGACATCTCTTGTGAATTGTATTTCTTTTTTAAATCAATATAAGGTAGCAATGCAATGCTTTAAAGCTGACGTTGCATAATAAACCATCAGTTACAAACACAGTCAGTAACATCACTCCTCCTTAATTAGTCAACTAAGAGAAATTGAATGGCCGTCGACAACAATATTTGTCACAGCTCATTTCATTACTGTATGTTCAGATACCACATTTCCATGAGACTCATGTCAATCCATTTGCAGCAAAGTCAATAAAACAGTACAGAAATTGTTTTGTTGGTTTGTTGGTTTGATTCATGAAATGTCTAGCTTTTTATGTTTATCATTAGCAGGTATTTTCTAATACCTCGATCAAGTTCAAGAAATTTTCACCCATCTCTCTGTGTTTTAGGGAAAAAAGAACAGACAGTCTATAAACCATTATCAGGGAGAAGTTAGCTAGAATAGTTGGTTGATTAGTAATAATAATAGTTTGTTGGTAACAGTCCAATAACATGTGATGCAGGGTAATAAGTGCCCACTGTACTGTGTTTCCTGAGATACTTTACGTCACCAGTAGATGGCAATGTGGTCTGCCTCCAGCTTTTGTAACAGCATTCTGGCTCCAATTTCACATTTCTATGCGGGAGACTTAATTTGACTCCTTATAATTTACCAACTGGGCATACTAACCAATCCATTCTTATTAATCAACTCATTCAGCGAAGTGAATCAGATTTTTCTTTATTGAAATATTATGCTGTTTACATTAATAAATTTATACATAGTGAAGAAGACACAGTCAGCACCTTTTAAATGTGTAACAGTAAGACCACTTCAAGAGGGCAGTTCTTCGAATAGCTGATGAATGAATTCATTACAATTACAGTTGAAGATGGGATGAGGGATGTTTTGGAAGATTGGATCCTAGCTGTGTTTGCAGACACAGTCAGGATTTAAAGTGAGTGGCCTCTACGTGACCCTCAGGGAGCAGCAAAAAGTCCCGCTAGTCTCATTAAAGCTACAAGAGCGAGACGTCCCATGTTACACCGATAGGCCCGATAATTCCATTTAGTGGCTTTTCTCTTACCTGGCAGGCAGGAGGACTCTGTGTCTTTTTAGATTAAGACAGGGTGTGCAAAAAAGACACAAAGGGGCAGGAGAAGAAATTCCCGGCCTACTTTAACATTATGTAAATCACCAGCTCAGCTACGCTGTTGTTTGAGGTCAAAGAGGTGTACACGACAGCCATCTTGTATGATTGATTTACTTATTAGGGACAGACAGAGCCATGTTTGATTCTTCTTCCTCACAGCAGCCACGCAAACCTGGAAAAACACAAATGGAGAGAAGCTGTTAGAAGCAGCAGATCATAGTAACTGAAGAAACTCTGTTCTGTTGTTTTCAGAGGCAGAACATGAGCATTCAAGCTTGTTGATACATCTGACTGGCCTTTTATTTTTATCTTACATCTGTTTCTTTGACTGTTTCGTCTACTTACAATCTCTTCTTTTCAAGCCCACCTCTATTTGAATTCTTTACTTTCTACTGAAAAAAGAAAAGAAATGGGAATGTTTTTCTACCTGTCCAAAATGTACGCTGGATCTGTATATCAATATTTTAACCTATACATGTGTTTTTATGACTAACCACTGAGCTGACAGCAAAAGACAAAAAGTTATCGGACAATAATGAGCCACAATGGACTAAGACTTGGGTCACTTCAGTGGAACACAGTCCCGATATCCTGCGAAATTATCGTAAAATAGATGTAAAACATGTCTTGCTTGAGAGTTCAATACAATAAAAAAGGGACGCCTCATTGCCTGTTAGCATCTAATCTTGTTTATATGCATCTAAAATGTAGGAGATCTGTTTTTGAGCCCCTCTGATAGTTTGTCTCCATGCAAATTGTAGATGTGTTAATCCGAAAAACACATGGAGACAAAGAACCATTTTGAAATGTGATCAATCCTCCCCCCCAAAAAAGAAAGAAAATAAAAAGGGTTGACTAATTGGGCATTCTGTTTGGAGACTTTGATTTAGTTCAATTCCAAACAGGCGCATCTTTGATGTGATAAAACCCTACTCAGAGGAAAATTTACATGATCCGAATAGTATATTTCTATTTCTATTTCCACCAACCTGTATAGGATGATGTATTGCAGGAGCAACAATCTGAACGACTTTTTGGTGACAAATTGTTTTAATATGGATTTTTTATTTTCGGACATGACTGTAGAGGGCTACTACTGATAGCGTCCTTCTTTTTGTATAAGTTGCTTGTTTATTTTTTAAGAAAAAAACCCACCAGTCTAACATTTTGTGTCCTAATTTGTAGTCTTTATGATGTAAATGAGTGGCTTTGTTTGCTCTGCTTTGACATGTGTTCTTTGCTTTATAAAGCACATTTTTCATAGTTGTGGCAAAAACAAATGTTTTGAGGTTTAAACTCTGTCCCATGTTCAGTTGCATTTTTTGCTCTCCACCTTGATCACACACCTATCTCCCCCCTATCTCCCCACAGGGTGTTCCTTCCCTCCCTATCCCTTCAAAAAATGTCTTTGTCTCTCGAGCATCTCCGTCTCACCCAAGCCTCATGACGCTGCGTGCTCTCGCCTCACTTCACCCACTACCTCCACCTGCCATCCAGATCCTTGTCTGAACTCCTCGAAATCACCCTCCCCCCC